CATGACAGGTGTTATGTCATGTTTATGATGGTGTCATGACAGTCTTATTCAACCCCCTTCAAATAAAGTGTTACCGAAATTTTTATTGTAGATAAATTTGTACTTTGTAATTTTTGTTGATCAGAATATTACAGCTCAACCAATGCCTGTGTGAAGACAAATGGTTGAATTTCTCAGTGCTTTAGTACCAGACAGCGCTGACACCCCGACATTACTGATATTTTTCAAATGAAACCACGGGCAACTGCGATTCAACAAAAGACAAATACTTATTGAATTGAAACAGCCAATAAACCACACAAAAATTTGGGTATATGCTGATGATCTGTTTTTTTCTTTCAGAGCATTAATAAGACATCAAAAATCCACTGCCATGTCATTCAGCCAACCATCAGTTTACACACTGAGAACATCGAGTAACTAGGCATCAATATTCCCAACAAGCTGACACGTTTGAATTACATCCCATTAATTAAAACAGAAGACATGGATTACAATCTATATCAAAATAGATTTAGAAAAATATTACATTAAACTGCTCTCTCAATTCATCATCTGTAATTACAAAATGCTAGACTACATCAGAACTTTGCAGAGAGACTATAGGAGCAAATACTCCTATGAACAAGTCAGAAACCCATTAAAACCTGGCCAATAATTGGAGCATGAAGTCACACACACTGTGATCCTACCTTTAGGTTCTGTCCATCAAAGGGCAGGGAGCCACTGACCAGCGTGTACAGGATGACCCCCAGACTCCAGACGTCCACCTCCGGTCCGTCATACTTTTTCCCCTGGAAAAGCTCCGGGGCGGCGTACGGCGGGGAGCCGCAGAATGTATCCAGCTTGTTGCCTAAAGTGAACTCATTGCTGAAGCCGAAATCGGCAATCTTTATGTTCATGTCTGCGTCTAGTAACAAGTTCTCCGCCTTTGAATAAAAGAGAGGGGAAAACATTACATAAAGTACATCTGTGGTAACGCTTCCAACACATACCACCAAACAAGGAATCAAGTCTGAACAATCCACACCATTTAGTTAGAATTTTGAACAATGCTGGCGACATGTTTAGAAGACAAATGAGAATCCTGAGAAAATGTTTATTTGTCCAGTAAGCAAAGCATTAAACCGACACACAGGGCCGAGGTGTTGGTTGTCCTTTATCCATAGTTAAAAAAAAACATATTTTTGTTGATCTTTTGCTGACTAAAGAGTTGACGTTTTTACCTAAAGTTAACTTCATTTTTGCCAGTAGAGGTTAATTTGTGAGCTTTTTTTTTTTTAAGAACTGAATCATTAGCAGGAGATGCTAATGTTGCTACATGACTGCACATGTAGAGCAGGCAGAGGAGGCTGCTCTGAGCTCCTGTCTCATTAGCCTCTTCATGGATCACTGATGATCCGCAGAGGAAACGACTCAGCAGCTCATCTTGGCTGAACGACGTTCTCTGCTCTACAGCTTAAAAAAAAAAAATATATATATATATATATATATATATATATATATATATATGAATATTTACACAAGGAAAGCACAAAGGGAGTGGCACGGCAACGGATGTAGCAGGAGCCACGTGAGAACAGTCCAAGATGTTGGCGTGTGTTTACGGACACACTCCAGTGGGACGCAGTGATCCAGTTCAAGACGGGCGTCGTCAGCAGGCGGCTTTCTGGGCCGAGTTAGAAACGAAGCTCTGACCTTTTCTACCAAATAAGCCAGACATGACTGCCTTCCAGGTGGGGGTAGCATTAAGCCCTGCTATTATTGAAATTATTTTCAAAAGTAAAACTATGCGTACTACTTTAAAACAATGTGCATTTTGGTGCATGGAGTAAAATTATGGAGTAGTTTGGAGGAGGAGTTAAAGAAATGCTCTACTAAAAATCAATTCAAAACACTTAAAAAAAAAGATTAGATCAGACACTTTTGAAGTAACAATAAGGAGAATAATTTAAGGTTTGCAACTTATATTGTTAACTTGATGAACACAGCCCTGAAAATTTATTCTGTATTTGTGACAGATTAATGCAAGATGATTCTTCTTCCAGCTCTCTTTTCACTCATGTAAAGTGTTGTAAGAAAATGTAAATTAATGATGAAATTTGTTAAATCAAGCAAATGAACTGATTTATTCTTTAGTTGTAGTAAAAAAGAAAAACATCTATAATTTTTTCCAGAGTATGTAAAGTTTGATCTCCAAGTCCCACTGCAGATTTCCACTGTAGAATACTTTCACTTTGTATTGTGAAGTGTGAAAACTTCCTGCGTGTGTTTTCAGGTTTGTGATTATGTTGCTGAACTCACCTTGAGGTCTCTGTGAACAATGTGCTTCTGGTGGCAGTACTGCACCGCCGATACGATCTGTACAGGGAGGGGGAGACGAGCAAGAGTTCAGCACAGTGTCTGTCCGCTGTTGACTTGTCAAACTGTGATAAAGGATGTGGTGGAGAGCGCGATGCGGTTGGCGCCAACAGGAAAGATAATACTCTGTGAAGGTGGCGCTAAAGACAGAAGAGAGGTGAGAAAGTACAGGCAGAGGCGTTTCATCACCAGCAAAGGCCGAGTCCTGCTGCGCCTTACGACATTTATTCGTAAGGCGCACACTCTGAGCTCCTGTCTCATTAGCCTCTTCATGGATCAGCTTTCTATGGCACATTATGAAAGCAAACTTTTATGTGGCAAACATGAAATGGTGCTGTAAGTACACATGGCTTTCAGGTTTTATTAACACATTAATCCTTTGAAAAGTGGCTTGAAGTTGTGTTTTGAATCTAAATTCTGGTCTGACCAGAAAACCTCCTTCTACATGTTTGCTGTATAATTTACATGGATCATGAAAACATCAAGACTTCTTACTGCTTTCCTTTACAATGACCAGGAAAGGCAACTTTATTTGGAAAGCATATTTCACCATCAGGACAGTTTAAAGTGTTTAACATGATTAAGAGAGAGAGAGAGAGAGAAAAATAAAGTGATACATTGCTTTTTAGTGCCAAAATAAAGGAAAGCAAAAATAGACTATAATTCATGATACTGCAGTTATTATAATTCAAAGGCAGCTCTAATAAATAGATTTTAAGTCTTAATTTAAAGGAGCTCAGTGTTTCAGCAGACTAGAGGAGCATAGCAGCTGAATGGGATGCAGAGCAGACCAGAACCAGAAGATCTGAGAGGTCTGGAAGGTTGATACAATGAAGCCATTTCCAATAAGCAATAAATTAATTCATCGCATGTTAAATTAAAACGTTTATTGCAAACATTGTTGTTGTTTTTTTTAAGTGTCTTTTTCTACCAAAAACTGGATGATAAAAGTCTTCAGTCTGGTGCTTCAGTCTCAACTGGGCCTTTGTTTGAAGGGCAGTTTTTACAAAGACTCAGAATTCATTTTATTTGTCGTTTTTGGTTTTTATTTGAGATATTTAAAATGTTTTCCAGTGTTAAATCTTTGCAAGAAATGAGCGTATATTTAATCTTTGAGAGGACTGTATATTAATATGACTATTATTATTATTATTATATTAGTGGAAACACTCTTAAGATGATATTGCAATAACTTCTGGGACAATTTATCCTAATATAAGCAAAGTTTGTTAAGGTGACAGTCCCAGCCACACCTTATTGAATGTGTTGCCAGGTTACTTAAACTTTTCACTATGGAAGAATTGATGATGTCACCAGGCTTAAGTAGTTCAGCACCGGGCCAGCTTATTGGTACGGTGAACTGATTCAACTTCTCTGTTCAGTCTTCAGACAGGCAGCAGAAGGAGGTGGAGTCAGGAGCAGAGGTGTGAAACCAGAACACTGCAGGGGGAGAAAGTTGGGTACCTGTCTAAATTTAGCCCTGGCCTCCTTTTCCTTCATTCTTCCATGTGCAACCAGGTAGTCGAACACCTCACCTGCAAACACAGACAGGGAAGTCAGAAAGCGCCTGATGGCGACTAGGGAAAGGTTGGAATTCCAAGTGGGAGAGATACGTGCTGAAACCAAGCGAATCACAACTTCTAAAGCTCAGCAGATAAAAATAACATTCTCATGCAGCTGGCGCACTACGCCCCCCATGTGCATGGTTTGAGGGCATTTCTTGAGCACACTGACGAGCTCCAACTCCAAACTGAGCCCCTCCTGGAGGCACAAAGCTGCTGCTGCAGAGTTCCAGGAGCAGAAGCTTCCCCGGTTAGCATGTCTACACACCGCTAGACCGGCGCACGGCTACAGCCGGTTGTGTTCTGAATCAGGCTGGCTGGGAAATAATAATAATAAAAAAAGAAAAAAAGACAAAACCAGCAAGAAGCCTTCCTCTGTGCATCCTGAAGACATGAATGAAGCCCCACTCCTCACCCAGAGGTCACCTGCAGAGGCCAACAAAGTGTGTGTGTGTGTGCGTGCGTGTGTGTTCGAGTGTGTGCATGTGTGTGTTTGGACGTGAAAGCTTAATCTGTGAGCTCAGACTCAGGAGCCAATGAGAGAGAGAGATGGATAGAGTGGGCTGTCACCCAAAAAGCAGGCCAGCTGAGCTCTGAACACAGGAAAACATTCAAGGGCAAAAAAGTTAGCAAGTTAGCTAAGAAAAAAAACTAAAGTGTAACACTCCGACAGAACTGGGACTGGAGTTTGAGCTGAACAGAAATCTGAAACTGTGATTTTCAGGGGGTAATTTAAGGTGCAAAGTAAATATCAACTAAATGCTAGTGTGTCATTTGAACGTACAGGTTTTTGTTGCTACAAGCTAAACCAGTTTATTGAACCAGTTTATATGTGTGGTTATTAATATTGCAGTGGTAGACTATAATTTTCTAGCATCTCAAATCTATGCTCTGCATATTGATAATATATCTAATCTTCCATATGAGCTCATCAAAAATGCTGATTATGCTGATTGTGGGATGGTTGTGTGAAGCTGACTTGGTTTATTTCAACTTCTTCTGGAAATGTTGCTGAATCAGTACAAGAAGTTCATAAAATTGGAAGATGTTTAAATTCACATATTATCTGGTAAGAATTAAAGACAAAATTTCAATCTGTGAAGCTCAGAAATCTTGTATTTTCTAGAAAATTTCTCAGATTAATATAAGCTCAGATATTTGGAAGAAATGTGTTCCTTTTTTCTCTTACCTTATTTTTACATTTAACATTGTATTAATCTGATTTTTTTTCCCCTTTTTATGTGAGCGCTGCAGCTTTCCTTTTAGACTACAGAATGTGACCTGTTGGAGCAAAGCAGCAGCAGCAACAGATGATTTTTAGTGAGGAGAGAAAAAACACAAACAGCTGAGCAGTTTTCTTTCGGGGTGCACCGACGGCAGTTTTCTGGATTATTGCCGATTTTGGCAAAACCGATTTTTATTTTGCCTGAAAAGTTGATTTTTAGATCTTTGTGGAGACAGATAATATCAGTTTCCCTTAAAGGTATCAGCAAAACACAGATCTCAGAAAATTAAGGAAATCGGGACCAATTTATCGGCTGACTGATGCATCAATGCACTCCTACTTCGCATCTGTTTTGCTTAGAAAAACCTTTGCTTTGCCGTTGGGCGTAAAACTCATGTACATGTTATCCTCCATCCATCTGAGAAAATATTGGTGAAATATGGCGGACCGAGCGGCGCTACGAGGGGTTTTTATGTAACAACGCGAGATGAAATCATTTCAGCTCACCTCCACTGGCGTACTCCATCACTAGGTAGAGGGTCCTCTCCGTCTCAATCACCTCAAACAGCTTGACTGCAGAAAGAAAGGACAGACGGAGGGAAAGCCATGAATTCAATTATATTGAAAAAAAAACAGGAGGGGAGAAAAGAAACTAATTCATGGACACGAACAAGAGCCACATGGAATAAAAATGGACCTGTGTGTGTGTGTGTGTGTGTGTGTGTGAGGAGGTAATGTAAGCATTGCATGATGAGGCAAATCAAAACTCAATAAGTACTGCACAACAAAATGGAGTGTTTTTTTTTTTTTGTTTCTGGTTGCCGATACCAGCTGAGACTCATCCTGCTACATGTGGAAAAGGTGGGAGAGTAAACAGAGATGAAGAGAAGAATCTCTCTTATTATTCTAGTCACGTTTCCTGCAGAGGAAATTATGGGGCGAGCAGAAAGGAAATGAAAAATGAATCATCGTCAAATCTTGTTAAATGTTAAAACTGTGACTAAGCCACACAATGGCTAAATGGTTAAGTGATTTGTCAAAAACAAAGGGGGGAAAAATGCAGATGCTTAATATCAAGTTAAATATTTTATATTGGAAGAACAAAAAAGAAACTGATGTATTTTGGAAGCAAGATATAAAACTAATCTAATCAACAAATGTTTAATAAAAAAGAAAACATTCCTATTAGGTTATAAAAAATAATGTGCTGTATTTGTTATAATTCTTTAACCTTTTTAATGTCCCATGTACATAAAATACATCTTTAAAGGCTTATTACTTAAAGGGGCAGTATTGGTGTTTTCCAGGTAAAAAGTGCCATTTTATATCACAGTCAAGTAACTATATTAACTTCAGATGTTAGAAAAATGCTGTATATATCAAATATGATGTAGAAGAAATGTTACTTTGTAACTTGATGCCTTGAAATTGGGTCTCTGTCTCTTTAAAAACCTCTGCTCTGTCTGAAACTCTGCATTCAGGAAGTCATCACAACATGGCTCCTCTATTAGTCCTTTAACGTTTTTACCAGTGTTGATCTGAGAAGTAGCTCCTATAACGAGCTCAGCAGCTCCACCAGCTGTTTGCTAAATGCTGCTGGCTAGTCTGAAGGAGCTGAGTGGGGAAAGGCTGCTCTGTGAGGTCAAAAAATAACAAAACATGATGTAAAAGGTCAAAAAAGGGGATTTTACATAATACTGCCCCTTTAAACTAAAACCTTAGCAGAATCCTTCATCTTTTATTTGCAATCATCAACCTCATTTCTTTGACTAGGACTAGACTGCTAGAACCAGCAGTTTTGGTTCTCAGCAGTGATTGGTCAGCTGAGCCTTTGGAAAGTGAGGCGAGAGGCTGAAACAAAGATCAACTTAAGAGTGGTGTCGTTTTTCCAGGAATATCTTATGATATTCCTTTAATTTAAAGTTTAATTAAATGTCTGACAATGTGTGCGTTAGAATAAACAAAGTTACCAGATCTTAATTTGAGCAATGATCTTAACTTTTAAAATCATATTTTTAGCTTTTCACATGTGGACACAAGCGTCTCGCATCCTAAACCCTTTCAGTGGGATGTTGCAGCCTCTCTGTGTAGAACGTTTCAAAGATCCACTTACCAATATTGGGATGATTTAAGATCTTCATTATTCTGACTTCTCTGAAAAGCTGTAAAGGACAGACGGAGTTAGATTAAAAACTTTCATATTTTTGCTAAGTCTACCAAAATGAGGCTGAAACACAGTAAAACACCAAATCTATAGTTTGTACCATTTATAACCCCAATTTCGTTATAATCCATGAAATTTTATTGTATGGTTTCTACAATGACTGAAGTTTATTATTAATATTATTATTCATATGGAAATTTTATTATTCATTATTTAGAAATTTCATTGATTCCCTGCCAAAAAAAAAAAAAACTTATAATAAAATATTACGCCAGGGTAAACAGATCGATGAAGCACAATGTATTTTATTCTCTCTAAACCCCAAATAAACCAATAAAACACAACCAATTTTTTTGTTGATTTTCCAGATAAAACTGCTCAATTTGCTTTTAAAAGTTCCAAAAACCCTTAATTTATTAATTTATTTCTCCCTTCTTGGTTGATATAATTTCAAAAAGCTGCTGAGCTGGGAGGGTCAACCAGTCTGACCAGGAACAATTTCACAAAATTCAGAGGAGTGAGGAGAGCAGCTGCAGCCAAAACCGCTTCACCATTTGGCTGCACATCCAGAGCAGCACAGAGAGGAATGCATTATTAACCAGCTGTTCACTACACCATGCTCGTCCATCCCATAAAGAGCTAAAAAGGATTCAATCTTTCATGAGGTGGGGGTGGGGGGGGGGGGGGGAGGGGGGGGTCGGGCGGCCTGAGGAAACTGGAACACAAGAACAAACCATCACTTCCTTTATGCAACTGAGCAAAATGATGCAACAGAAGTTCTGCTGCATCATCATCAGAGAGGGGAATATTACCAAAACAACATTTTTATGAGAGTTTTCAAATATTGTCATTTGTGTTGTTTCTTTTAAGTGATTTGAAATTAATTTTATTAGCATAATTTGGTCCAGTCATAAACACTTGACTGTATGATTCAGAGACTGTATTGTAAAAATACATCACTGGATTGTTTAGTGAGTGTTGTTATGAAAGAAAATAGTATAGCTAAAAAAAAAAAAAAATCAGCTTTACCACAATAATTGTCATAGTGACTCTGAATACTAGCAAAACATATCAAACAAATTTTGTTTAGTGAAAAACTCAGATGAATACATTGTTTTAATTCCTACATCAGGTCACTAACAGGCCTCAGTGGGAGGGATGGGGGGAACGGATGGACGGATTCAAAATGTTTTTATTTTAGTCATTTTATTTAAAAAGTGGAACTTGTCTATTTACTGCTAAGGCTGAACAATCGGATCAATCGATTACTGAAATAATAGACTAATTTAGTAATCAATTAGTCATTAACTGGAGTACAAAGAGTCTAGAGTAATTAAGCCTAAACTGTATAAAAATATACACATTTTGTAATTAAGAAGAAAAACTTTCCAGGTGTGTGGATATCTTCTACTCTTCAAGTCTGAGTTTTAGCTTCACCTGGTTCAAAGTATGAAGAAAAAAAATGTCATAGTAAGCATGTTTTGCTATTGGATTATGAAGTGGTTATTCAAAAACAAAAAATGAAAAAAAACAACTAGTCAACAGATCTGTCAAATATTTATTTTCCTACTTTAACAATGCAAGAAATTTCTTTGTTGTGTATTTTTAATATAATGCTAAATAAGCTTCAGAAAAATCTGCAGAATGTGCCAATTTTTTAATCCAGTTAATCAACAGAATAATTGATCACTAAACCAGTCAGCTCCAGCCATGTTCGTTGTGTTGTCATGTTTCAGTTCATTTTAAAATTCTAGTTAAAACCCAAAATTTAGCTCTGAAAATTACAATAAGAAAATAAATATATAGGAAAAAAAAATTTGGATTTTCAAAGACATTTTGCAATAGCCTACAATATCACGAGGAAGAGAAATGTGTCAAAAATCCATTTTTCATTAAGTTATAATTAATCACTTCTACTTACTACATGGGGAGAAAGAAAACGTACATTGCTAACGCACGGAGCAGTGCAGACGGGTTGGGATTCTTTTCATTAGCATCCATAAAAATAACCATTTTTTCCCTGTTTGTTGGACATATGCCAACACGGTGTGCTACTGAGTTTGGAGTGAATGACATTTAAAGACAAAAAACTGAATGCATGAAGAGGCTCACCCTGGCCCAGCGGTATAAATAAAGACACCGCAGCAGGCAGAGTGTGTGAGCAACAGGCAGAGGAGTGTGGACAGATTCAGGCTGGTAGATGTACTGGGACACTTTCTGCCCAGAACCGTACACTGCTCTGCTCTGCCTAAAAGGCTAACAGATGGTGATAAACAGCAGGGGCCGCTTTCAAATTCAGCGAGGCTTCGAACATCGGATCGCCTTGAGCACACACACACAAGTTTGATCCACATTTCTTTTGGGAAATAAAGCAACCTTTGATTCTAGATGTGATCACTTCACAGCGACCCCCAGCAGACAAACTGCTGATTCATATCAGTAAGACACCAGAGTGTGTTTGGAGTCCAGTTCGACCGACAGATCAATGAGACCTGAAGCTTTAAAACGGTCTGAGACACAGAGATGCTGACTGGGAGTTTTTCAGGCCTGGAGGCTTCTGACCAGCAAAACGACAAGTTTATCATTTCATCAAAGGTGATGTGAAAGTGAGCAGTCAGGACAAATCTTCATGTTACAAGGTGATGCAGCTCGGCGAGTCAGACTGAACTCTGGTAAAACGAGTCCAACAGCTTTCCATGCCAAATAAAACAGTACAGAATGTCACCAAGTTTATCATCTAGACTCTGGTTTCAAGAATATTCAGCACCACTGAGATGCATATGATCATTTAGGAAATATCACCTGTTCAATAGCTTGTCTATTGAAAGGTTAAAACTAATTTACCCGCCTGTTGTGAATGTTGCTCAAGTCCAGTTAACCATCTAAATAAAAAGGGCAAAGAAAGTCAACTAGAAGATTTGATCAGTTCTGTGTAGGCTAGTTTCACTCAAACTCTAAGTTAACAGCATTTAACCACGTTACTCTGAACTGCAGTAGAAGCTTTTTCTGATTTTTTTTTTTTGTGCAGTCATGTTCAAACAGCCAACAGCAGCCATCCCATCTTTTACTGCGCCAGAGTTTTACAGGTAAAAACCTGAAGGTTCGTTCTGCTGGCACCGAGCGGTGTGAAAGTAGAGATCAATTAGCTCATGCCGAATGTGTCTGGAAATATCGCTTCAACCTCAGACACAGTGGAGATTCAGTCTGAAATACTGAATCTGTACTGATTCTATTAATGCAGGTGATTAATTCTATCATATAAATAAAGCAAATTTTACAGGTCAAAATAAACAGGAATGGGGAATCTGTTCTTTAGTTGTTTTAGAATATCGGCAGTAGGCTGTAACGATAAAACATTTTACTAGATGATAAATTGTCCCAGAAATTATTGCGATAAACAATAATATTGTTGTTCTGAGACCATTTTCAAGTAATCGCAAAATAATGCAAAACATATATCCTCAAAGATTAATAAATGTTCATTGGAATTTAAATTTTAACAGTGGAACTGGAAGACGTCTTACATATCCAAAATAAACACACACAAAAAAAACCAAGTAAAATGAATCATGAAGCCTTTGTAAACAAAACTATCCTTCAAAAAAAAGGCCTAGATGAAACCAAAGCACCGTTCTGAAGACTTAAACAGTTTTTGGTAGAGATGAGAGAAAAACCAAAAATCATGCAAATGAAAATCATTGAGCTCACTTTAATTTATCATGTAATCAATAGATTTATTGTTTATTGCGACAGGCCTAATCAGCAGGTTTCAGCAAGACGAATTCAAGACTTTTTAGACCTTTTTAATAGCATGAATAAAATTTAAAGTAGAAAAAATAAAACCTGGGGGAAAAGAACAGAGGAATGAAATAAGGTGACCACATTATAAACTAGGTCAAGGACAAAAACGTGCCACTGCAACAATGCGCGGCATGCTCTGACTACATCTGTTTCGTCACCAAGATCAGGCGCCTTCAGGGGAAGTAACACATAGCTTGAAGCTAAAAATCACAGACGCTGTTAGCTTTCACAAGCTAGAAGTCCAAAAGGAGGAACCGAGTCTACACGTTCCCATTTCCTGTATCCACTACAACTGATCCGGGATGTATAAACAAGTCTGAGTGGGCTAAACATTAGATCACTTCCTGGGTTTTATTTTTATTTGTGTGCTTTTAAAACATCCGTTCCATCCGGTTACAGGCTGAGAGATGAGTCACAAAAAACAAATTACAGCCTCTGGAGTTTTAACCGAGACGAAGATGTGTGTTTGCTGTTTACTGCAGCAAAGCCACGTTGTTTATCTCAGCTAGGACTCTGAACAGGTTCTGTTCAGCTCAGCCCGTCACTGGGATCCTTCAGCTCTCATCTGGACAAACAAATCGGCCTGAAGGAACAAATCCTTAAACTAACAGTTGAGGACACTTCAATATGTAATCGCTGGGTCTGCGTCCAGCCAGAACATTTCAGCACAAGAAATCTGAAAAGTCTGAACAAGCCATCCTCCTGATGTGGAAAGTTCTGACGTAAAACAGGGAATCAAAACAGATTGGTTTACTCATGCACCAAATTGTTCCATTAAAAAAAAAAAAAAAAAAAAAAGTTGTGATGCACCGATATTAATACTGCCGTTATGACCGATAATATATACCTTTCCCTATACTTTCGACATTGTTTGAAAGAGACCACATCATCTACATTGCTTTTCTGATTTTGTTAAATATCTTCATAAGTCAGGGCTGGACGACATGGCTGAAAAACATATAATCATTTAAGAATTTCTCAACAGTCAATATCATAAAATGTCAAATAGGTTTTTGTTTTAAATATGTGAAGTATTACCAAACTAGTGATGTGTCCTTTCCTGTGTTATTGTTTTGTCCACAGTTTTCTCTGTCATTGTTTTTTATTTTTAAGCAGCTATGAGGCACTGTGACGAAACCTGAAACTGCTGCTGCGCAAGTTACTCAACAGGTTGTTGCTAGGTAACCAAAGCATGAGTAAGTTAATCAATGCAACCAACTTTTTTTTAGCTCACCGTGAGAGGCTGAGGAGATTAGCTCTTCCCTCTGCCTACATCCCCCATAATGCTCTAGTCAGTGGGCTTAAATCTAATTGAGGAGTTCTAGATGAAGAGGAGGCTGGATTTATTTGCAAGCCACACTTTTCAGATTTTTTATATGTACGTTTTTAAAAAATGGAATCAATGTATCAATTTCATTTTAATGTTATGCGCCAATACTACTGTTTGTCAGACCTGAAAACACTGATGGGGTACTGAGTGCATATGCAGGGCTCAGTAAGTCCCCAGTTCTCTTCACGTCAGAAAACCAAAAGACACGTCGACTTAAATGAGCCTCAAACGTTAAACCTCCCACACAGGTTGAAACAGGGAGGCGCTGAAGATTAATTAACTCTTTGTTATTCCTTACATAGGGGAGCTTTTACTTTGAGAACCTCAAATAACCAAGGCATGGTTTTCTTAGATTACTAAGCTCTGCATTTCCTTTTAATCCAACACACTGGATGAAATGATCCGAGTTCAAACATATTACCCAAGCAAAGCAGTTATGAAAAACTAAATCTTCCAACAAAAAACATTTTTAACCTCCACCTTCTTTTTTTTCTTCCTAAAGAATAAAAGAAAAAATGTTCATCCATGTCAAAAGCAGCAGCACAGATTTACATTCCACATTCAGTGGGCTCACTGTTGTGCTAATATTGGCTAATGTTAGCTTACGTCAGAAGATACTGGGGCATCACAGACGTTAATGGGTCAACTTGCTAACTTTAGCTTGGGAAATTCATTTCGAACAACAACGACTGCCTTCGGCTGAAGTTATATAATCCTGATTTAAAGCTGCTGGTTAACTAAAAATAAAATAAACTTCTTAATGGCAGTACCTGATGTCTGATTAAACAATGCAGAATGAAGATAAAAATAGTCTGTTTTTATTTTTTTTGTTTGGATGAAGATTTGTTGTTGTGATTTAATAATAAAAAAAAGTGTGCATGCTAACAGACTTAGCTTTAAGCCTCCTCTGTTTATCTTTCATCAAGACTTAAGAGCTGAACTCCCACCTTGACCTTTGACAGCGATCCCATCCAGAGCTTTGGAGAGTTCAGATGTGTCAACTCAACAATGCATAACAAACTACTGAACAGACATCTTTAGGCTCTAAAGACAAAAACACCCTCCTGTCTGCCATCAGCCTCTCAACCATTTGCACTGTTACATAAAAGTCTAATTCAGGTTGGCTGTTTTTCTGGAGCGCTGGCCGACAATCCTGCATCATCCTGACCAAATGTTTAAAATCAGCTGGTACGCCACTTCTGGAAAGAAACTTTCACAACAGATTAATAGAATTATTACCACAGACAGGACAGAGGAAGGGCAGCAAAGATCACAGTCTTCAGGCTGAGCAGAGATCTTTAAAAAGCCTCAATTCCTGATTCCAATTTTAGCAAATACTGATTTTTTTTTTGTCCAAAAAAAAAAAAATTACTAACTATAGTGAGGAAGACACTAAGCTGACAACAGTGAGGTGATCTTTTTTGACAGGAAATTTGTTTACAAATAATTCATTTTATTAGTGGTTTTGATTGGAAATACCATACCATCGGGTTCATCTTCTTTTTATTTACCGTTTTTGGTTGTTGTGTTTTATTTGGAATATTTAAAGTATCTTCCACTTCCAGTGCGAAGTGATCTGTGCAAAATTAAACAAAATTGCGTTGTTATGACATTGTCAATATATTACTTGACAATGATCTCAGAACAACAATATTATGATTCATCGAAAATTTCTGGGGCAGTTTATCATCCAGTAAAATTTGCTATCATGACTACCAGTGGATGGGATTGGCTCCACATGGAAGTAGTGCATCCCTAGCCAGAAACTTCCTTGAAAAAAATCTAGGGTAAAATTTACCCTTTATTTGTTAAATGAATAAAGGGATGACCAGCATTCCATATATTTAGTGCTTTATATCAGTGCAAAATCTTTCTTTGTTCTTTGTTTGAAAAAATAAAATGTATTGCTGATTGAACTAAAATATGTCATAATATTTTAGGCCTTGCCGCCTGGCTGTACCCTGTATCCTAGTTCTGCTATGTTGCTATTGTAGTCCTATTGTAGACCTCTGTCCATCGCCACCTTTCACAGTTATGGATTCTGAGGTCCGGACTGAGATATTCCAGGCCAAAACTGTGAATTCATTGGGAATTCCAGTAAAATATTCCATCATTCAAGCACATGGAGTGGAATGTACCTTTAGTTTGGCAAATTAGCTCACCAACTGTTGGGTAGAAGAGTGTTTTAAAAGAATGAGTGAACGCTGATAAGACTTCTTTTAACGCCTGGCTGAACCAATCTGTGACTGGATTTCCTTCATTTCACCGAGAAAAAGAAAAGAGAAAACAGCCAGTTTGTCTATAAATGGAAACGTGACATGAACATGACTTCAAGTATTCAAACACTTTTTTTTTTTTATCAACGTGCCCCGCTTCCTTAAAATAAACATTAAAAGAAGTCAAATACTTTCTGGAACAGCATGAGGAGTAATCTGACAACCATGTTTTTTGTTTTTTCTTGGCGGTGACAAAGCAGGAACCTAAAAACAACAAGAACCAACACAAAGGCTTCACGACTTGCGTTTCTGTGAACGGCGGCGTCATGACTCGGCGTCTTTGTGTCACAGCAGACGCCAAAGGGCCCGGGCCCCTGAGCTACAAAGGCAACAATCAATGGAGCTTTGGAAAAACTGATGGAAAACCACTGGCCAAGCACCGAGGGAGACCAGGGGCAGAGAGGAGAGCCGGGGGTGGGGGGGGGCATCGGCAGCGGCCGTCTGCTCGCCGCTCTCATCTGTGTGACGGTTTCAAAAGAATGAGTCGATGCTGCTCTCATTTCCCCGAAAACTTCAGAGCCGGGAGTCACAGAGGCATGATGGGACAAAACACTCGTCTGCCTTATTAGTGAGGACAATGCCTCCCCCCCCTCCACCCCCAACACCCACCCCATCAAAGACACAGGAAACGGAGCTCAAGTTGATGACCGCAGACTGATCATCTAAGAGCAGAAAACAAAGTTCCTGCAGATTTCTGGAAGTCAAGTTTAAGACTTTAAGACATTTTTTAATTGCACCTTGAATTAAAGACTGAAAACAAAATGTATTGGTTGGTAACAAAAGTGAGCCAGTAGCAAAACCAAACCTCATAGCCTCATTTGCACTTACCCATGATACACAGAAAAGTTAGCAAGCAGTTTAATGTTAGCAGCTAGTTAGCAGCAGCCTCAAAAACCTCCAGTAACAGAAGAACATAAAGACATCTACACACGACTCAAACATTCGCCTGACAAAAATGTCCCATGAGAAAAACCAATGAAATAATTATTTTTTTAGTTGGAGAAATTACAGATTACTTTCTTTTTTTAAGACCTTTTTAATCCCACCTCAAATTAAATTCAAGACCGAAAAAAATAAATAAATGTAGGGATGTTTAGGGGATACTGCTGCCTTGTTGTTAAGAATCAAAAACTCCCATAATGCCAAGGTTTTGGTGCACAGAATGCACCTACCCGTGAATGAATTAGTCAACTTCTTTTTATTTTTTTGCTGTAATCCAATTTTAATTTGCCTGGTCATTAATGGTACTAATAACATGCAACCACAAACAGACTTCTGTGTGAACAGTTTATAACCCCAAAGTGACCCACAGCTGCAGAAGAACGCAGCGCTCCGTTTACAGACTGACCATTCAGGCTCCAGACACTTTAAAAACATATCTGATTTAGTTCCACATATAAAACTAGCACAGTTTGGATATTTTTGGGGGTGAAAAGTTTGGAATTGTGGCCAGACTGCCCAGAAAAAATAAAATAAAATAATAATTTAAAAAATTACCACAGAGGTCACATTTGGGGGAACAAAACAACAAAACAAAGCAGGTTTGGGTCACATTTGCCTGCTGTGTGAATGTAATAAAACTGCAGTCCAAATCTTTTGGGATTTGAATGTTCCACAAACTAATATTGCAATAATATATTTCTGATATGTTGTGCAGCCCTATCTGAGACTGTTAACAAGGTTTCCCTTCTACCAGGACAACAACCCCAAAGAGTTATTTATGTGCTCCAACGGTCCAGTCAAAGTCCAGATGGAAAGCATACTTGGTAAGCCTTGATAATTTACCTGAACTGACAGTCTCTATTCAGCCTGAATAAGCTGAAGGTATTTTGTAACAAAAAAATAAGAGACAACAATGTTCATCTCCAAATGTGTGAAGATGGTACTGAATGGTGGTGGTCTAAATATAAATGCACGCCACACCTTTCAGGCTTTTGTTAAAGAAAATGAAGAAAGGTTTGATTTTCCTTCCACTTCACAGTGTGACTGTGTGGGCACGCGGCACAAAAACACACCAGAGCGCACTGAGGTTTGTGGTTGGAACAGGACAGAATGTGAAAAAAAGTTCAAGAAGTACAAAGACTTTTGCCAAGAGCTGCAACAAGCAAATGAAAACCAACCCAGCTACGACCACTGGCCAGGAAGAAGACAATTACATTCATTCATCATGGAGGTTAAGACGATAGAGAAACTGGGAGGGGGGGGGGGGGAAACTCTTCTATGTGTAGTGAGAATGATCAGATGTTTTTTAGATTCGAATCGAATGCAAAGGTAATAACGCCGAGTCATCTCAACTTCACGAGCCAGAAAAGCCACAAGGTTACAGTCACATCTCTTCTTCTGCAGTCACCCAGCAGAAGCTGCTTGCTAGGTGCAATTTATACAGAAGAGACTGGAGAGAGCAAATTACCTTCTGAAGGCTGTTTGGGTTCAGCTGCGTCTTGTCTATTATCTTAATTGCCACCTGTGGAGAGGGGAAAAAATGATAACTTAGCCAGAGGTGGGAAAGTGTGAAAAAAGATGGAGCCAACACCTGTGTAATTAAAAACAACACAGGAATTGAAGCTCTATAAACCAAAGTGACTGTGGTGCTGCCATTCACAGAGTTTAGAGGCCGTCTGAAAGCACAACGGAGTGGAACGTCAATCATTTCTGAAATCAGACGCTCAGCAGCAGCAGCCTGGCTGAACAGATTCAGCGACGTGATTTCAATTCTTTATTCCACAAATTAGATCCTGTACAATTTAAATCTATAATTATACAGTTAAAGCTACAATAGTATGTGCATTTATAATTTATTTTTTTATATTTCAAACTCCATGTCTGTTTTTCCAATTTCTACATTTTGCTACAAGCCATCTTTACATTTCACATCAAAATAAAAACTACTTTCATTTTTAAATGTGAATTCTATTTTTACTTCTGAATTTTGCTCAATTCTTTTGTTGTTTTTGATTAGATTTCCTTACTTCTAATCTGATTTTAAATTACATTTCTATTTTACTTCATTTAACTACATTTCTCATCTCTACAGCTGCATCTTAGAGGGGCGGTATTTATAGTGCCATTTTACAGCACACTAAAGTAACTGTTACCTTCAGTAGTTATAAAAATGCTGTATATAACTCAAATATAAGAAACTTGAGTGTAACTCAACGCCTTGAAATTGGGCCTCTGTCTCTTTAAGAAGCTTCTCCTCTTTCTGAATCTCCACCTTCAGAAACTCATCACAGCATGGCTCCTCTATTAACATTTAGCAGCATTTTTACCAGCGTTGCTCAGAGAAGTAGCTCCTATAATGAGCTCAGCAGATGTACTGTTCCACCAGGTAGTTGCTAATTGCTCCTGGCTAGTCTGAAGGAGCCAACTTTAGCAAACTTACTTTTCAAAGTAAAAGACAGTGACCTCTGCAGCTTACCTCTCTGCCGGTGAGGATGTGCCGGGCAAGTTTAACTTTGGCAAAGTTGCCTTTGCCGATGGTCTTGAGCAGCCGGTAGTTGCCCACATGGGGTTGCTGCGACTCGTCCGAGCTGCGGGATCGCATGCCGGTCCGACCTGAGCGTGTGCTGAGCTCCTGGCGCCCGTTGCTGTGAGATGTGTGCTGTAGACAGAACAATAATGTTAGAGAACTACTGCAGTGCTTCAAGTACCAGTAAACTGTTGATTAAAAAAATCAACTTTTCCAGTTGATCACAGATAACAAAAAGGCTGATCTGCTGATTCTTGTTCTGTCCGTTATCTTTTTTTTTTTTTTTTGCCGGAAAGCCTGATTTAATCACTGTGGTTTAGATTGTAACTTAAATCAATCTAAACCACAGTGATTCAGTAAGTCACCTCTGTTTACACACACCAGGTGTGACTCGGGACTTAAACTCATGACATTCTCTTATTACTAGCAGAATTGCTTTCTCAGTCCAGAGTTGGGCCATTTTCAGCTTACTCAGCTACTAGGGAACTTCAAGATCTCACACATTTACAATCTGTTAACATTTTGTGCTAACCACATTATGTGGTGTGGAGGTTGTTACCGAGTGAAGAAGACTGAAGGAAGGAAGACGTGTTACTCAAGCAAACTAAAAGGAACATGTCAATCTGTGTCTGTTTTACTCAGGCTCCAGGAGACAGCTTTCAGCAGATAACAGGAAGACTGAATGAAGTGCAGCTAACACGATCTGTCCTGTTCTTTCAAAGTTTCAACTTGTTATGGAACATGCTGAATATGAAACGTTGGCAGCCTGCTGGAGGGCTCAGAGAAATGCTAACAGCTGGCTTAGCACTGAAATGCTTAAAGAGACACAATGCTCATCACGCTAAATGCTAATACAGAATGCTAAAGACAACTTCAAACAGAAAAAGAAATTGTGATGTTAAATTTTAAATGAGTAAAATCTTGTTTTACACTCACAAAGTCTAAACAATGAGTCACTGTTTAGTTTCATTCGGTTTGTGGTTCTTAAAGAAAATCAGGAAGAGTAAAAAAAACAAAAAAAACAAAAAACAAATCGAGATTGGAAATAAACCACAAATCTGACTGGTGCTGCTTGAAATATCACTACATTAAGTCAGTCATTTCTTCAGTAATGAGCACAACCACAGAAATACGACAGTTATCTTTTCATCTAAACAGATTTTTGTTTTCGGTATCGGGGTCTGACTCATCTCAGCCTCTTCACTGCAGAACGGACACCAGGAGCAGAACTTTACTACAGAATCCTTACAAACACTCCAGCTTTTGACTGTCCTTGGACATGCTTCACATAAAATAAAGCACTCAAAGGGTTCATCTAAATTAATGCTAGTGTTATAATACATGACCACACAAAGCCTTTCGAGTTAATAGAATGTGTGTGTTACACATGAAAGCTTCTCATCTTAGATCAAATGTACGGGTGCATCCATAAATCACACCAGTTTCCTTAATGTTTAGTGTCCAATGATCGTCACCCCACTGTTGCCAATTTAGCAACTTTGTCAATATATTTATAAACTTTTCAGAAAAAAAGGAAAGAAAATTGGCATTGGTCAAGATTGGAAGGTCACGCTTTTTCTTTTTTTTAATAAATTTAAAAAATAATAGTTAGAAATCAGTGACTGGCCAGAAAAGAGCAATTGGAGCACCACTAATAGAATGTGCCGTTTCTCATAAAACCGTTAAAACAGACAGTTTGTTGGTTGTTGCCACCCTGCAGTCGCAGTTGACAGCATCTCTTCTTTAGTCGCAGACAGAATGGTCAGGATTGTTTTAATTGGCCACATCATGTTTGGATAAAGTTACTGAAATCATTTGGAGATTAGGATAAATCCATAAGTTGGTTTATATCCACTTTTTATCAGCAGATTAAAAATAAATAAATAAGATAATCAGAGTTCATTTAAAAATTTTTTGCTCAAGATTCACAAATGGGGGAGGTTAAATGTTTACGTCACTTCTAAGACTGACACTGCTAAATGTTATGGAAAAGCACCAGAGGCACGTTTAGTTAAATCTCTCTTAACGGAAAGGCATGTGTGTCTGAATTAAAGCTAAAGGGTCAATCAATTAACCAGTCTGGGTAAACAAGCTGCTAGCGCACAACTTATGCTAAAGAACAACCAGAGCCAACACACCTCAGATAAAAACCGGCTCTAATAATTAATATTCTAACAATGCTGGTCATCATTGTTGGTCGTCTTCGTAAAATCTGACTGACGGCTGCTCTGGCGTCAGTCTCGGTGTTTTTCTGTCCCACTTTGGTTAAAACTGCGACAAAAACTTCTTTGGAAGTGGACAGAAAAAAATGTAATCGCTCACACCATTTATGAAATGCAGTCAAGCTAAAAAATAAAAAGGAAATACAACGATGGTGGATAAGGTTTGTTATGATGCAGCCTAAAATTAAGCTCAGTCACAGTTTAAAGTTGTGTTGTCACAAAAAAGCCTTGTTTGTCCCTTTGTCTCCAGTCAGCTGGAGGAAACAAACTGAGTAGGCCGATAATCGATGTGGTTCAGTATTGATTAGCAGGCAGTCTCTACCCCCCCTTCCTCTTCATTGACCCCCAACTATCCAACGCTGTTACCTCTGAAGAGTGTGTAGAGTAAAATGTGCTGTACAGGTGCAGAATTAGCAAATAAATTTGTAATTCAGTACATTTATGTCCGTTTAAACAAAATGTTCAAAGTACAGTTAGCACTGTTTTTCTGACTGGCATTGGCTGATGACAGACCTCATAACTGAGTCAGAAGGGAGAAAAGTGGACCGGTGTGTTTCTATTGCTACCAAGAGGAAAATGCAGAGAAGAGAGAACATTTCTGTCAGATAAAGATTTAAATTTAAGACCTACCTCAATGTCAGAAATAACTTATTTAACTTTTTCTCAACTTACTTCACAATATAAGTTAATATGACTTTTCAGCTCTTTGTGATTTTAGTTTCACATGTACGTGTTAATATGTTTTCATTTGGCAATTGAAATTTAGTTTTTCGTTTTTAAATTGCCAAACCCTAAGTTTACATTCTTTCCTGCAGTCAGTTCGTCTCTTACTTTTGTACCTTTAAAACTATTTCAGTACTTAAACCATGTTGTAGTTTTGATGAAATTGCATAACAATTGTTTGACATCCTATTATTTCTGCTCTGCTCCACATTCAGTCTAACCGACTTATGAAACGTGACAGATTATTGATGCTCTAGATCAAACCACAATAACCAAGTCAGCTCCAGTTGGTAGGGAGTCATATAACCACATTGCTTTACTGTAGACAATACATACTGCAAAAACTAAAAGTTACTGTGGGCAGCAGAAAAGCTATGAAGAATGTTTCTCAAATCTGTTAATTATGGCGCTTAAAGAAAAACTGGAATAATAAAAAAAACACAACTGACAGAATAAAATCTAGAAACATTCAAAAAGCAAAGGATGTACAAATTTAAGACAAACAAAATGTTAGACTTATGATAGAAAATCTAATAAACGTCTTGACTTTCGTCCATTGCATTTCTCAAAAATGAAAAGTCAGCACCAAAGCTTTTATGGGAGAAGCAAAGAGCGTACAGATTTACTAGATACCTTAATGTTTAAGATCAATGAGAGGAAATCTGAAAATATTCATAAATATTTAAAGCCTAAAGTTAGGATGACTGAATTTACGTCTTTTTAATACCTCAATGAAACCTGTAATTACGTGACTGAAGGACGGCATTTTAGAAAATGCAGAGTACAAACAGTTCCAATACTGATCGGGACAGACGTCACACTAACAGACGTCATCCACAGCGTGTCATACAGAACCCAAGATTGAAAGGACAGAACTTTTTTTGTCTTTTAAGATATCAGTTTAATAATTTTAGTTTTATAGAATTGATTTGTCTTTAACCGGGAGATTTTCAGGAAAAATCTCAGTGTCTCTGGACAGACTGAGCTCAGACCGCCAGACTAATGCAGATAAACCGCCTCAGGCCGTCTCAAAGTGCAGAGAAAATATCCTCAAAACATTTCGAGTCCATTCCCACCTGTCTGTGGCGCTACCTGGGTGTGATCAGGTCCCCCCGCTGGATGTTCAGGGTCTGTCATGAAGTGGGAAAGTTAACTTTTACAGTTGAAACTTCCACACAGATCAACTCTTTTTAAACAGGGATCAAATATGAAAAGCAAAACAACATGAAATCAAACTTTAAAAAAAAAAAAACTCGGTGGAGGAGCTGCAGTTCCAATCCGAGTCACTCGACCCTGAAAACGCCAGAGCTTGAAGGAAGTAGACGTGAAAAACATCAGTAGACCATAATAAGGTCAGTTTAACCCTGAACTCAGCCAGACGGATTTTCATTCTCCACAGGAATATTTTTGGGCTTCTGACTAGAAACAGCACTGCAGATAAAAATATAAACTAGGATAAGGTCACTGCAGGCGGAATAAAATAACTCAATATTAGAACCTAACTGTGCAAAAACAACATCTAATCCTAACATTTGGTTTCATTTTCCAGCTCCTGACTTCCTATTGGGAGACTGAAGAAAGAAAGAAAAACATTCCTTGATGAAAGTCCTTCGTTTCTTTCGGAGAAGTTACTCACAAAGCTGCGGTGTCTCCTGGCTGCCTGGGACCCTGTCATGTCTCAGCCCGCTGATAAGCTCCAACAATGCCGGTTCGTCCTGACTCCAGAGCCCCAGTAAACAGAGCTCCCGTTTTGTCAAGCCAAATGCTGACACGCCCAAACCGGAAACTGGCCCCATACGTTTTCAAAATAAAGGCACCTTCGTTCGCGTTGGGAACATGGAGTCCTACATTTCTTATCCGAGTTCCCATCAACTAAAAGTACCATCTAAAACTCCTTATTGGTTGGTTTATTGACACAGAATGGAGTCAGAGCAGGCGCCGCACACTAGCCGCTGAAGAAGCCGCTTCTTCCCGCTGAATCAATAGTTCTGAGCTGTTTGTGCTCCGTGTTATCTCCAGCTGAGTGCCACTACCGTGACGAGTCATGAGACGGAGGAGGTCACGCGCAGGTGTTTGGGGCTTGCAGCCGCAGAAATGGAGAAAGAAATAAAACAGGCGAATACTAGGGAACTCTTTTAGTGGTTAGTTGTGTTTTTCAATAAGAAAATAAACGCAAAGTAAAAAATAAAAATAAAAAAATACTGATACATTTGACAATTCCCCCAAAATATCGTTTTCTTTCATTTTCTGAGCTAATTTTCATATTCATCTCATTAGGGAACAAGCAACTTGTTTTAAAAATAAGGTTTTGATAGAGTGGACAGAAAAAAACATTTCTAAATGATTTTTTTTTTATCATTGTAGTTAGGGGGTACCCACGTATTCAGGCCTTATTCCTTGTGGTGGTGGTCGCAGGTTCGATTCCCGGCCTGGTGACATTTGCTGCACATCTTCCCTATTCTCTCATTACCCACTTTCCTGTCAGACTACTTTCAAATAAAGGCCACTAACACAAACAAAACCTTTAAAAAAAAATGTTGGTAGTTAGGGGAAAAAAATGATAAAACTAATGTAAAAATATAAATCGTTTATAAAATATTCAAAATAATTATAGTCAGCAGGAAGTTGAGAATCGTGTTTTAATGACTTATTGTGTGAACAAACGTGTGATTGTAACTGTGTTTCTTATTTAATGGAAAAACTCTAGTTGAAAAATTTTGTTTTTCAATATATGCAAAATATTGACAAAGTTTTGTACATATATGTAAAGGACTATTAACGGCGCACGTGTCGACATGACCCGAGTTACAAAAATCAGCAAGCCACGTCTGTCTTCATTGTGTTGTGGGACAGCAGCAGAACCTTCCATTAGTGGTGCACTGATTGCAGTTTTCTGGGCGATCACTGTGACCTGTCGATTCTGACCAATACTAATTTTCTTTTACCCTGAAAAGTTGCTAAGCAACAAAGTCGATAAGTTGTCAGCAGCAGGGATGTGTAGATGTGAGCTGGTGGGTGGGTCCATCAGTAATGTCCTCTCTCCTCTCTCACAGCAGGGTAAGAGAGAGCAGTGTAAACTTTTACAGATTTCAAGCTTCAACGACAGTATTCTATGAATTTTATTGGGATTCTATACAATTAAAAAAAAATAAAAATTTAACAGAATTTGAAAAACAGAAGAAAATTCTCATGCTTTCCCAGCATATTTACACAGAAAAATCTGAAGTGTCACTTTTAGAGTTGGAGGCAACAAAACCACCATGTATCTACAATGAAATCAAGTGTTTTGGTGCCAGTCTGCCAGTCCTGTGCACCTAAAGACTGAAATGTTTGCCGTCTTTTTCTTCCCTTCCAGAGCAGTTCCAGGTCAGTCAGGCTGGATGGAGAACATTTGTGATCATCAGCGCTAAAGTCTTGACCCAGATTCTCTTACAACGGGCCATTGTGAGACATAAAAATGCTTTGATGCAACTCATTAGCTCTGGCTGCATCTTCAGAGTGGATGTTGTGTTGGAAAGGAAAACTCTAGCCTCTGTCCAGCTCCATCCATCCTGATGCATGATGCTGCTGTTGCCATGGTGACTGTGGGTTCAGATTGTCACTTATAGGAATTTAGCATGTTGACCAAAAACGTTCAATTTTGCACTCATCACATTTTACTTTTTTTTTTTTTTGCAAAATGTAAATGAGATTTCTTATAGTTTTCTACTTGCTATATATATGTATATATCATGCCAGATTTGTGGAGTGCACAGCTTTACATACTACTTTGTAGTAGTAAAACCGCACAAAACATACATTTAGTTTAACTTCCTTATTTAATAAAATTGATTCAGCGTAGAGTATATTAATGTTAGATGCATTATTCTTTTTAATGATCATTTTCGGTTCACGTAAAGGATTAATAAATTGGGTTGAAATTATTCCGACCGAGGCCTTTTATTCTTTTTAAATTTCATGCCGGAAGCACAGATAGTTGCATCACAAACAACTTGACAACTTTTTGTTTCTCACAGGGGGGATTCAAGCTATCACGAAGGGGTGGGACCAAAGCAGCTCCGATCTGGAAGCTGACTGGATGAAACCCATTGGTGACAGCTGCGGCAGCCAATAGAAAGCCGAGAACGAAACTTACTGTTGCCTGCCAGAATCAGCAAGCAAAGTACTTTAGTTTTGTTCGTGGTTAGGCCTAAACATCCCGACTGCACCTTATTATATGTAAGAATACAAATTTGGCGTCAAGAAAAGCATTAAGCTTAGAATAAATATATACATCCACATCAAGGATGAACTGGACGTGATTTGACGTAGAAGTTGTACTTGTTTACGATTTTCAATCAAAGTATAACTCGCACCGAGGACCAATTGGGTTGTCATGCACACAAACGATAAAAACAAATCAGTGAAATTCAAAGAAACATGCGATAAACAAGCTCTTCTACTTACACTTTCCGTCACCTTCTCGTTGACCGTCGGTAAAGGAGTTTTTGTTGACATCATTTATTTGGTCTTCCTTAACCAGGAGCCGTTTGAGGTGAAAATATAATCCTCAGTTTTAAATCCACCAGCCAAGAAATCTGGTTATTATTGCTTTGCTTTGCAGTTCTCTGTGGAAAAACAGGCTCAGCATGGATCGTGACAATTTTCAGCCCAGACCGGACGTGTTAGAGCCAAGCACCTGAGATATTCCGGAGCGTAAAAAAATACTAAAATAAAAAAATACAATCAACTTATATTTAGTGTTTAAGCTGCGCACATAACATGTTCCTGCTGTAACCTTTGTTTGACTCGACAGGCTAGCCGGAGTCCGTCTGTCCGTTCGGCTTTCAGTCAGTGAAGCTAACTAAACTAACGTGAAGGCGCTGTCGGTCGTCACTTCCAAAAATCACCACAGTCCTCTTTCTTGCCCCCGAAAATGACTCGCTTTAAAATAACAACATGACCTTCGGTGGTAAAGGTGGGTGTTTGGCAGACGGTTTTAAAAGGTCCAGATGACTGAAACGCTCGCCATAGGCTCGGTTTCTCCCATCTCCAGCGGCCCAAAGTGAAGCGGGTCTGTCTGTTTTAGGTGGGACCAAAATGGCTACTCAGCGGCTGGGCTGGATTAAGATGCATTCAAGGACTCCTCGCTTGCCCGGATATCAGAAAATCTTAGATTTAATTATTTTAAAATTGCTATCCGGGCGCTGTATTATTACTAAAAATATAAGCACTGATATAAAAATGAATGAATGAATGAATGAATAAATAAATAAAACATCTGACCAGCGGAATATGTACTTCCACTGTTAAATTTCACAGAAAAGTTCACTGAAGAAAAGTTCTGTTATTTGGGTAGATGACAGCACACGAGGAATAAAAAATGAGCTGAATATTTCTGAAAGACTTGTAGTGTTCTCATATTTCACTGAATTTTCTGCATCCATACAGAATAAAAGCAAAAACCGATGACAGGAGAAGGTGATTAAAAGCACATAAATGAAGATGGAAAAAAGTCCTGTCTTGTAAAAGGTCCTTTAATAATCTCCAGACATTTTATATCAGTACAACAACAGATGTTGGATCTTTTCCATTTGTTATGAAAGAAAGAAAAAGGAAGGAAGGAAGGAAAGAAAGAAGGAAGGGAGGAAGAGAGAGGGAGAGGAAGGGAGAGGAAGAGAGAGCAAGAAAGAAAAAAATAAACAAAACATATAGTGAAAGTTGCAGATATAAAGGGAAGGAGGTATTTTGCAATTTCATGGGTCACAATAATTTTACATTGTTTTGCTTTTGTATTAATAGCATTGACAATATTAAACCGTTTAATAGACAAATTAAAAGAATGAGAGTAATTGTTTTGATTTCAAGTTGTTTTTCATAAGCAAGTTAAAGCCATTCCTTAGCAAGCTTACAATGTCTGCAAAGATGGGAATGGTTGTCACATGTAGACGAGTTTTAAAAACTGCTATAGAGTGGACACTATTCTCATTTGTTCTAGTAGTTCATCTTGTTTTTACAGTAAATATGGAATATTTATCTTTACATTTTTTTTTAATTAAATGTTTAAGTTTTATTAGGGTCTCTAAAACATCTTTCAGCATAAAAACATCTTTAATTCTCTTTACTGCAGTATGGAAGGATTTTGCACCCCTAAATGGTTGCCATGGGAGATTCAAGGATTTCTAAAACATGAAAGAATTTAAAAAACACTACGAGTATGTTTTTGATGAGGGAATAACATAACATAATTAAAAGCTAAAGAAAAAAAATAATTTTATCTTATACTGCCCCTTAATGTTATTTTTCACATGCAGATGCAAAAGAAAAACTGATCCGTTTTGTTGTATGCTGTTAAAAAGGAGCGCTAAGTCCCACATACAATGGCTTCTGTTTTTATGAGGTTTGTTTCATTCACTTTTGTGTCCGACAGGACTTGAAAGCCTCACAAGCATGTTTAGCTGAACGGGCGGAAACCGACTGACCCCGGTCCCACCGGACTACAAAGTATTGCGAGGACTGTCACCAGTCAGGAGGAAATGGTTGTGTTGTTCGCTTCATAGAAGAATGTCCGTGCTGCTCTTCGCACTCCAGCGTTAGGAAGGCAGAGACAGAAAATAACATCTAATATTTTAGATTAACATTTTAGTCATTGATTTTTTTTATGTATAAATGTATTGAATTATTCAATTTAGTTATTAAACATTTAGAGCAGCAGATGAACGCGTGCTCTTGACTAGATGCACGGATTTCTGAGGGTTCTTAAAGTGACACACCACTTCTTTTCTGTTAATTTAACTCAATTTCAGCTAGTATTGAAACAAGCCAGCCAAAAACAAGCTTTCGATGACATATGCCTTTATCACATACTCTGATCGGTTTGTTTTAATATTTCCTTCCCTTTTTTTGTGTGCATGTTTTGAAGTTAAATTCCTCCCTTAAAGGTGTTTGTGCACTCACACATAATTCAACTACAGTACAAGCAGTACTCCAAATACATAGACTTAAGCTAAGTGTAAGCATTTTACCCTTGGCTTTAACATAAAAAGCTGTAGTATAAACTCTTAACTCCTGCTCCACTACAGTAACTAAAGCTTATTCTGGTATAAGGAGATGTAATTTCATGTTTAATCATAACTGTGGAAAAAAATACCATCACAAAAAAAGCTGAAACTATCTTTTCTAGCTAGAATATATCTTAAGATGTATGAATCAGTAAAGTTTTGGCAACGTCAAAACTAAAGTATGCCAATTCTTGTAAACGTCTTCATAATTTCCAGCACTTCAACCGAAACAGTCAGACATGATGGATAGCAAAACATTCTTTATTGACTGGAAAAATACAGGGACCTCAAAACAAAAGAGGAAAGAAAGAAAAAGTGCAGTGAAAAAGATCCCATAACACCCTTGATTAAAATCCCACAAATCAACTTCATTTAATAAACTCATAGCAGAATTATACAGATACTTTGTAGCAGGTGAAGCGCTATAATACTATATCATGCTGTAAAGCCGGAGGGGTGTATAGAGGGCAGTAGGAGGAGGGGTCAGGGGGGAATCAAGAAGGGAAAAGCTGAGCCGTATCGGTCATACAGGGCCGGCTAAGTCGAAGCCACAACACAAGAGAAAAGCAGCAGCAGCATCCAGAATCTCTCAGATTGCATCAATGTCAATATCGTCTTCTTCTTTTTCTGGTGTGTCTGGTTTCACGGTCTCCACTTTGAGCTCGCGGGCGGAGGACGAGTACACCACCTGCGGGAAGAAAAGCACAAAAACTTTTAGCCCACTGTCAGAAGGCTCCTGTAAGCATTACATTTATAGCACAGAGTTCAAGGGTTGCTTGACAAGCAACTGGTTTCTGCATCCATTCGCTCTAGATGTCTGAACCCATGTACTGCCGTTTCCTCCAAAACATACTGGTATCAGTTTATTTTCATGTCAAGACCAGTAATGTAATGCAATGGGGTTAAATACTCAGATCCTATAATTGTGTATATTCTGAAATATTTTCCACTGAGATTCAGATCAATCTTTGAACCACCGATAACAGGTTTTTGGCTAAAACAACAATGGAAGAAAGCAGATGTCTGCATCCGTCTAATACTTAAAGTGGAGCTACGGGCGACATCATGCTTTATTATCATCCATTTTACATCATATATAGAATTCATAATTGCTCTTTCTGAACCATTTCAATGAAGGTTTGATAAAGTTTATTTTTATATTTTGACCAGTGCAGTCAACCTATTTTTTTAATGTCCGTATTAAGAAAAAAACATTTTAAGTTTATTCAGGATTGATTTTCTGTATAGAATCGCCATCAGCTGATTCTATATCTTAGATATCCGTATCAGGAATGAAAAAGTTGATCAGTGCATCACTAGATAAGAGTGGGATGCTTTGACTTTAATTTTGTTGTTTTCTTGTTTAAATAGTTTTGTTGAATTTTCTTTTTACAAAAGACAACAGATCACCTTCAAAAATCCTGAAGTAAATAAAATTTTTCGTTTTATTTTATTCTCATATTAAATGCATGAATCAATGCATTTTATTTTCCAGACAGGCGTCTATGAATTGGCATAGGAACTACCACTTTAAAAACGACACTGCAAAAACAATCAGCTGCCAGTTTGGAGCATTGAGGGCATTTCCAGGAACTTTTTGCCCAAACGAGAAAAAGAAAAGTCGTACCTCGACGTTTTCGTCGTCTTCTTCCTCCTCCTCCTCCTCGCTGCCCTCACTCTCTTCCTCCGCCTCCTTCAGCCATTTGACAAAAGGAGCGGCCTTGGCATGGATCTCTTTGGCAAGTTCCTTGGAGACATACTTCTTAGAAACCTGAGGAAAACAGGAAACGAGAGCAGACAGGGGAAACATTGGATACAAGAAAATAAGATGTGAAAATACTAACATCAAAGTGGTACGATTGGGATACTTTTGAGCCTTTGCTCATATTTTTTGGAGACATTGAGAACTGAACTGACGGCGGCTGCCAGCTCACTGACCCTCTCAGCCCAGGCGAAGATGACGTCCTCCTCCAGCAGGTCGGCGTCGTACAGGTCTTTGAGGATGATGGCGACGCGTGGCAGCAGCTGCACCTGGTGGAGCTTCACCACGCACTCGAAGCCTCCCAGCAGATACTTCTGGGCTTTCTTGTTGTTGTGACAGAACTAGGATGTGAATATGAAAAACATACAGCAGATAAGTTAGTCACTTCCAGGAGAAAATGAGTTTTATTCAACATTAGGGAGAAGGGGAAAAAAAAAAAAAGTGATGTTTTCTTAGTCGTGTGCAAGGAAGAACCTTTAACTGCAATACCACTGATGACCACAAGGCGCTGGTTTCATAAACATTCAAACCATTAAAATAATTTACTATAAACATGAGTCCTCAAAGAAATGTATTTATGTTAAAATATGATATCAATAATTGATCAGGATTGCCAGAGCTTTCAGATAAAGTCACTGAACATCATGTCTGCTGATGGACTGAGTCAAGAACTTCTGTACTGAGAAATAAAACTGCTTATGTATAAATGAAAAAGACGATAAAGCAAGCAGCCTCAAGCTGTGTATTATATCAATTTGTCTTCATTTTATATTTTAGAAATTGAGTATCAAGTCATGAGGCTCTCAGATTATATGTCTTGCTCTAAAAATTTAATGTAAATGTTTTCCATCATCTGAAGAACTTGTCATCATTCTCAGTTTAATGTACAAAATAATTCTGATGACAGGAGATGAGGGTTTTTCCAAAGCCAATGCTTAAAGTTTAATGTGGCTAATGGCCACTGTTTATTTACCTGTTAGTTTTTTTAATTCCTGTAACTGAAAGTTTGGAGTGTTAACATGAAACCTGAGCACTCATTAGCTGGGTTTCTTTGTCCTTTGGTAATGCTTGTAATTTAATCAGGGTTGTAGATGCCGTTTTTCAGTTCCCATCTTTAGATGTGACTGTTGTTTTTTTAAAGGCAAATATTCACCATTAATAAGCAAATACCAGGTTGAATTAATTGGCAAGCTGACATCAATTACTAAATTACAAAAGGTTTTTCACGATGCATTATTTGGTGAGTTCAAGTGAAAACCAAAAACTAGTAAAAGTTAAATTATAAACCAAAATGCAAATAATTTTAAAATAATAAAAAAAAAAAATTAAACCTATGTGAAAGCTTATTTTTACTTAAACCAACAGACTTGATTTTACTGATATGCATTTTAAATGATTGCATCGTTTTGTTGCGTTTGTAATACGTTATTTTGTGATTAGCTGTGTCACTTATGTTTTTTTATCTTATCTGTTCATTTTGTTCCAGCTGTGGCTGGTGCTGTAGCTCTTTCTAAATGAAGTTGTTGTGGATTTTCAGACTGTTATAACAGAGACGTACTCTCAGGAAGTGGCGTTTGTACTTCTTGATCTGGTCCCGGATGTTCTCGTTGAAGAGGAGCTCGCTGAGGATGAGCGGACCCATGGCCTTCACGTCCAGACGCTCCGCCTCTGCCAGGATCTCTTTGTCAGCGCCATCAATGGTTCCGCTTTCCTTCTTTTGCTGTTTAAGAACAAACAAAGAGGTGAACAACTGCGGGGAAAGATTTGTTTCTGGTAGATCTAATAACTGGTCCCTCAACTGCTAAACTCGACACTGTTTGGGTGGTTTTCCTTTAGTAAAGTACTGTAAGCCACACAAAAAAGGATGAACTTTCTATGTTTTATTTTTTGTCCGATTCTGTTGCTGTTGGGAGTTGTACACAGACTCTGCACCCTCAGCCAATCAGACAGAATCTTCTGATGAAATGTACTCAGTCTCAGCGGTCTTACTTTCACAAAGCTGTAAAAGAGGTTGACCCTCTCCTCCAGAGGTTTCTCCAGGTCCTCGCTCAGGGTCAGATTCTTGGCGTGGTCGCTGATCTCTTCCATCCGGCGCCGCTGTGCCTCCTCCGTCGTCTCCTCCGCCCAGTCCTCGTCGTCATCGTCTCTATCCTGGAAACGGGAAGGATGAAAAAACTGCATTAAGCACCTGGTTCTATAAATAATCATTTATATAACCAAATGTTGAACATTTAGGGATAAAACAGTATATGTATTTCGGTTCCGAACCGAAAGGAGCAGATATTTTCGGTACTCATAGTTGGAGGTCTATCTATGTGATTAAACGTTTTTGCAATTGTGTTTTAATTTTAAAGGAGCAGTTTTATGTGTTTTAGTGCCATTTTATAGTACAATCAAGTAACTTCAGTTGTAAAAACAATCTGACTTTGTAATTTATTGCTTTGAAACTGGGCCTCTGGCTCTTTAAAAACTCCTGCTCTTTCTGAAACTCCACCTTCAATAAGTCATTGCAACAAGGGTCCTCTGTTAACCCTTTAAAAATGTTTTTACCTGAGCTGCTGAGAAGTAGCTCATATAATGTTTGCCATTCGGTGCTGGCTAGTCTGAAGGAGCTGAGAGGACAGCAGCTCTGTGAATCAGGAACTTAGAAACTGCAACTGAGGAGGAGCTTTGTCTTTGAAGGCAGAGCCAAGTCCCCCAAGGTGATTAGCACAGCTCAATGGTTGCCATGGAGAGTAAAGGATTTCAAACATGGATGGCACTCCAGGTTTGTTTTTGATTATGGAATAACATTATAACACTACGTAGAGCTGAATAAGTACATTTTACATGAACACTGCCCCTTTAACCCGACTGACAATGAGAGCCGAGGGATGATCCCAGACTACGTGTGGGGATCATTCCTCCACTGAACCATCATGTGAATGACAGTAAACACACCACAGCCTCAGGGGCATCAATGTTGTCCTGGTTTCCAGTCTCGCCGCTGCCAGAGCCGTTTTCCTTGTCCTTCTTGCGGTTCTTCTTTTCTTTCTCTTTCTTGACAGATGCAGAACTGCTATCATTGCTCTCTGTTGACAGGAGGAAACGAGCAAAGCAAACAAACAAAAAAAATCATGTTATGAATTAATTAATTTAAGAGAAGTTGTTAATTTTATGGTTGAGCCAGTGACCCCTCACTTCTTACCAGGTGGGTTTTTGAGAATGAACGTGCAGAGTTTGTGTCTGGTGTCTAGCATGCCACGGTATCCACAGGCCTTACAGGAATTGCCGATTGTTTGTTTCTTAGGATTGACATGCTGTAGAGGAAGACAGAAATGAACCATGAACATACTACTACTATTCTGTCCCCTATACGCAAAGTATTATCCTTAAGCACAACTTCTCAAGACAAACTATGCCATTCTTGTTTCTTCAAAACAATTTATAGAGTTCTGTCCTGTTTCCCACTGCACGGCTTGGCCAAATATCTTTAAGGAAGCAGAAAACTCTTTACCAGGTCAGTTTCAGGGTTGTCGCACTCAGGACACAGCACAAATTTTCTGATGAACCCATCAAGCATATCCTGCAACTTGTTCGCCTCGTGGGATCCGTTGACGATGTAACGATCGTTTTTGGTATCAAACTGGGTCTGAGCACCGAGTTCACAACCAAAAAACTTGGTTGGGTCTGCAGAGAAGAGATGAGGCCAACAGTTAGAACTACAGTAACTAGAAAAATAGCACAATTAAGATATCCATGTCTTATGCCAAGCATGTTCATAAAATTCAAATTTTAGTCTTCAGTTTGGTTTCACTGCATTTATAATCTGATTGTTTTTATAGTTATTACAGCTGCATGATTACAGGAACACATTTTGAAATATTATTCTGTATTGAGACGATATTGATCAGGTTTGACCCACATTTCCCTCAGCCTCTCTGCCATCACCATTACATCTTTCTGATGTCAGATCTGGCATCTTTATTAAAGTAGACAAACATGACATGATAGTTCATCTAAGTAGAGAAAAACATCACTACAGAATCTAAATGCACTGAATTTAAGACTCCAGCCTACCAAATAATGGAACTAGGCATTTCTTTACAAATTCAGACACGACACATTGTCTCTAAAAGTGATTCAATCTGGACTGATATGTTCGATGTTAAATCTGTGTTAATGTGAAGGTACTTCTGTGCATTAGAAAGTTGCTATAAAACTTTATCAGTTTTTCATTACTTTTTGTTCAAGATATCCACAGAATTTCCACCTCAAATTTCACATTTTTTCTGCTACTCTGTGCATTTGATAACATTTAACCGTCTTCATTTATCTGTGTGTTCCATATGTTATAAAATGTGATTATAAATTTAGCTTCTGGGTTGACGGTGTGGTAAAAGCTCCACACTGGTATGTGGATAAACAGACCAGTTCTGGATTCACATCTAACCCACTTACTCAACACTTCCCATAGTGTTTTATTTCTCATGCTCATCTAAACTTCAAACAGGATTTAATAGTTTTTCACACTTTATAAGACTGCTATTAAACCTAAATTATAAAAGTGCTCTATAAGACTTCTGATCTAGAGAAGTAAACCACTTATTTTTACATTCAAGTGACTAAATAAATTAACTTAACTACCACACTGGGAGCTTAATGTTGAATCTTCTAAAATCTCCATATTTCTTTTTAGCTATACTCAACCGTCACACTGTGGCACTGAATGTTCCTCAGAAACAGTAAGTCAACACTGTTCAATGCTGCTACTAAATATTTTAAAAGAAAACCAAACTTTTATTCTTCACTTTTTTTCTGCTAGCATGAGACTGAGATTTTTTTGACACTTATTACTGAATGCAGCATCAAAATTCCATGGCAACCAACACATTATTTTGATAAAACAAAAAATGGCAGGTCTCATAACTTAATTTTTTTTTTTTTACATTGTACACCCCAGATAAGCTGAGGTAAAACGGTAAAGTTTACTCACATGTTGGAGGCCTGTTCAAAGCCTTTGCAACATCAACCATGTTGACAATAACCGTCTTGATTCCATTCCCTTTGCCTTCAACCTAAACAGAAAACAGAAAAGACCATAAATCCCAGCGCCACAGACTTTTTCTTTTTTTAAATGGCTGGGATAGACTTCAACCTGCCGGGGTTACCTTGGCAATCAGACGGGGCATTTTGTAGCGATAGAACTGGTCTGACACGCTGCGGTTAACGTTGACAGACATTTTGGCTGGATGTTAGCACTATCAGTAAGATAAAAGGATCTTGGTTGGGGATTTTTCGGGATCTTCTGTCTGGAAAAGAGGGGATGACATAAACGACTGCAAGCGTGCTCGGTCTCTGACATGAAAAACGTCGTGCCGCTGTGGCCGCAAGCTCCTTGCTTGAAGGCTAGGTTTCCACCACACAGGTTCCAACGGCTGCGCAACAGCTCTGAAAGAGGAGGAGAGGGACAGCCATCAATATTTCAGAAGCAAAGACTAGCGCTGCCCGGCTCTAGCTAACCCCACTGGATGAACAGCATAGAGGAAGAAGCAGCTGTGGAAAAGGCAAACGGCTGTGTGTTGTGTAACATAGGGAGTGTTTGAATGGCCTTCATCTGTATTACAACCATTTAGACCAGGTAGACATAAGCTGGTAGATTGGATGTTTTTTTTCTCATCAGTAATGGCTACCTTACCTGTAGATGGATGTCGTCATGTAGTGAGTTTGTAATAAAGTGATAAAATTCTTACAGTAGAGGAAGGCTTAGAGATGGTCTGCTTAAGCAATGGGAAACATCTCAAACTTAAGATGTTCATATCCAGGAGATTAATAACCATCTGCAGGTATTGAGCATCTAGATTACAGGACGCAGCTGTCACAATGGAAAGAGCAACTTATACCTACTGACTAAGACTATTAAAAACAACAACAAAAGAAATCAAGTTTTAGGAAATATCTACTCTGACAACACTTTATGGATTCATTAAAAGAATCAGTCATTTTTCAGTCTAATTTTCTAAAAAAAAAAAACTACATGCCTTTTCTTATTTATGGAAAAGGAATGTAGTTAGCAACCTAATGACAAGGGTTTTTTAAAAAAATAAATAAGAATTAGTACATTTACTTGACGAACATCTTTCAGTTGTTTATTATTTTTAATTAATGATAAAGACTTATTATGACAACTGTTAAGTGGAGGGTCCTGAAGAGCCTGAAGCAGCTTTAGAGCTGAAGGTTTCAATTAGTTCAGTTTGGGATTATTGGAGTATTTTTAAACTGAGCTACAGATCACTGGCCCTTTACAATCTTTAGAGAACACAGTTGAGTTTGTCAGTTATCTGAATCAGAAGAAAGTCCATGTCACTGCTATCATCCCATTAGCAGAAGCTGAAGGCTGAAAAACTCCACCTGAGCTCTTCAACAGCTTCACTTCATCCTCAGAGGCTGACGAGCCACAGCTGTCAAAGCAGACTGATGCAGCCTCAAGCAATTTCATTTTTACACATAATGTAGATACTGTTTGAAAAAAAAAAAGCAACAACCTTCACATTCCATTATAAAACTACAGAACGTTCATATCTGCTAATATATCACTGAATCCAATGGATACAAGTGTAAAAAAAAAAAAAAAAAAAAAGATCAAATCCAGCTGAAACTGATAAATCCTTCCGATTAGCCGTAAGCATCATCCTGTTCTGAGGATTTACTTTTTCTACAGATTCACTGCAAAAAAAGTATGGATACCATTCAGAAACTCACTACAAATACACAAAATGATCTCTTTAATGGCAACAAAAAAAAAAAACAAATTCAAATTTTTAGATTTAAAAAGAAGAGAAATTGGATGCTGAATGGTTTTGTTTAGTACAAAAGAGCTCCTTACAAAAAATAGCTTATTGCCAATCTATTCTGAAATTTAGCTGGAATTTTTTTTCTATAAATTATCAAAACACTGTTTATGCATTGAATATGAAGAAAAAAAAAAAGTAATCTTGCATTCCAGGCAGCCAGCATTGATTTTAAATGAAAAAGGAAACCAAGCCTCTTAGTATTCAGCTTAAACCCCTCTTTGTGGCCACAATAATGGATTTGTATAAGCCTTTTGTCTTATGCTGGGGGGCCTCTGGCTTTTTGACATATAAGGCCTGCTCTTTTTAATAGGTCACAAACATGAGGCCCATCAGCTGTGGTCCGACTGATGGAATCCGTACAAATCACACCTGCTTATAACCTGACAAGCCACTATTACGGTAAATGTCACAAAATGAATGACATTTCCATGAAAATCCGTTTTGGAAAACCAGAGGAGGGGGAACTACTCGGGTGGAGGCTAACAAACTAGCCCAGCTAGCGGCTTGGTGCAGAGTGCGTCACACAGCCACTGCACACGAGTGGCGAGACTGGGAGAAGCCATTTTGAACAGCGCCTGAGAAGACGGGGAGCGCTGCTTAATACTGCAGAGTAACGGGAAAGCATACATGAGAATAACCCAGCTAAGTAAAACGTAGCTAACAAGAAAAACAAAACATTATGTATATAGAAATTCGGTTCCCACAACTTACCGTTTCTGCAAAACAAAGACATAAACACAACGCTGATCGTCCAAATGCCGCAGTGAACGGTGGTCGATAGCTGGTGGTGTATCGATTGCGGCAGCAGGGTGTCTAAAACGTTTTCTCAAAGCTTAAAACCCTGAGGCGTCCAAATGGTGTCGGTGCCAGGTTCAGAGACAGAGGAGAGCTTTCTGGGACGTCCTCGATGTCCGGGAACCTTTTAGGGAGGGGGGGATAAAAAGGATCCATTAACGGCGGACTGGAATGCCAGCATCAGCAGGTGCGACAGGCGATAGTGTGCAGTCCGTTTTAACATTGTCGTCACGTAATTGTCGTTATTTATTAAAACGCTGTACTAATTACCTGTAATAGAGCGGGGGAGAAAAGTAGACGGGTAACCTGATTGGCTAATGACTATGCTTTCTGGTTACGAAGCGTTTGATGACAAATAGTCAATTAAACACACAAATATAAAAAATATTATGCGTCTAATAACAAGTTAACAAAACTACAGTTTTACCGTTAATTATGTCCACTGAGAGTGCTGACGTTCACAGAAAAAAAAGCCCCGTGCCCAAACGCAAGGCCAACTGACGCCACGCAGCTATAGCTAACATGGTTAGCCAAACGCAGTCGACGCCATTCAGATATTATGATTAAACAACGTTCACAACATCGTGTAGCTAACTTTAATTTTTCTACTGTATTATGTCCACCGTAGAAAAATAAAAATAAAGACCAATAGAAAGGGCCGCGATGCAGTTATTTATCACCTACCTCTCGAATGTTCTGCGAAATGCAGCTTTTCGTGTCGATTTTTTTTTCTGACAAGCGTTAAAGTTGAATAAATTTAGCAACATCCGGTCTCTCTGTTGTCTAACATTAAAAGTCTGCTCAAATATGTACTGGGGTAAATTTAGTATTTTATTGATAGCACTAAAAATATTGACAGTTAGAACATTGCTAAACAACGAGAATCATTTTCTAGGTAAATATTGTAATAAAAAATAGTTACTTGAGGCTTTTAGCAATCTGAACTGCACAAATTAGATTTGCATGGGTTTTATTTTGAAAGGATAAGACGATGCAGTGTCTAGCTTGATGACGTTTTTTTCTTCGAATATGGACAAGTAGAAGTAGATGTCGCCTGAAACCCAAAGCATACGTCAGTGCCGTCGCCATCTTGTGTTGAGGGAGTGCTCCTCCCTGCGATCCTGACCAGTGCGAAAAGGACGACACGGAGGAAAGATAATGAACTTGTATGGAGCTAAAACGGTGACAACTCCATAAACTCGCTTACCAGTTTACCAGCTGTAAGCCATGATCTTAAAAATTAACAGAAATTTGATGATTGTTAATCAGTGTAATATATGTTTCTCATTTTAAAGGAATGTCAGACTTCACATCTCCATTTTTGTTTTGTATTATTGAGATGCACCTGTCAGTAATAACAAATTTCTATCTATTTCAAGTGCAGGTACAGTTTAGCTTATCTGCTAAAACAACAACCAGGTTTAAGATGGACAACTATCTACTGCTACAGACTGATTGTTTCTATGTGAAGGAAAAAAAGAATACAGAGTTAAGGGGAGCAACAAGACTGCTACTACAGTACAAAAAACTAACTGCTCTTCTAGCAGAGAAATACCGTCAAATGTAAAAGTATTGACCCAAGAGGATGGGGAGAGAAACATTCCAAAATAAATACATATTACATATTTTAATTTTTTTTTAACATATATTTCAAATTCATGTTTAGAATGTGATATCTTCCACAAAAATTATTAATCAGAATGTACTAAATATGATGCATACTTACACATATTTAAGAATATAGTGGAGTGCATTACTTACAAAGACTTAGCATATTTTTGATTTTTTTTTATTTATGTAAGAAAATACTATACCCAAGTTAATTTCAAATTGGAAAAATTGGCTGCATTGTTATTTTTTATATTACCTCTTTTGTTTTTTACTATTCTGTATTTTTTAGCATTGTGTGTAAAATAATACTAATAATAATAATTAAAAAAAAGCTACTTAAAATCGTTTGAAAACATGTGATTGTTCTTATAGAGTTTTTGTTACAATAGTCTGAGGTTCTACATGAAGGGATCCCCGTACAAAGATGGCGGCTGCGTGGTCACATTATATTCCAATGAATGGCACCAATCAAGGCGACTTCTACATGGTTATATCTGTGACTTTCTCACTAAAGGCGCTACGTCAGCATAACTGTCATTTTATGAGTGGCAGATTCGATTGGGATAGACGTACAAATACTATTTCCAACTAGTAATTGTGATGATTTAGTCAAATATGTGTATTTGCAAATTAAATGTGTCTTCTAGAGTCTCCTTAACTCGTTAAAAATTTTAATTAAAAATTTATGGATAGACATGGCTCAGTATCTTTGAATTAACAGTTGGACTTCACACATAGAGTTCCTTCCACAGGTGTCAAACTCCAGTCCTGGAGGCCCACTATACCCTGCAACTTTTAGATGTGCTTCTGCTGCACTACACCTGAATAGAATAATTAGGTCATTAGCAGGACTGGAGAATTTATCTACACAAGGAGGAGGTAATTAAGCCATTTCATTCCAGTGTTTTGTACGTGTGGCACATCTAAAAATTGCAGGACAGTGGCCCTTGACGACTGGAGTTTGACACCAAACACTTCAAATAGTGTCCTGAAAACCATTTTTTTTTTTTTTTTTTTTGTATTTTAACGAAATATAATGGTGTATCACGCCCATTTCTGCCAAGAACTCAGAAATTTTGAGATGTATCTCAGAAATGTTCTAGAAAAAAAGTGAAAATTTCTGAGTTTGAGAAGTCAAACATTTGCAAGAAGAAACTGAAATTTTGATTACTAATTGCAGAAATTTTATAGACAAAAACCGGAATTTTCTGAGTTTAAGAAGTTGAAAAATTGCTAGAAAAAACTACGGATTTTTTAAATTAATCAGAAATTTTCTAGAAAAAAAGGTTGAAGTAGAACATTTTCGATGTTTTAGACTTTGAAATTTCCAAGTGTTTTAATAGAAAATTTCAGATTTTTTTTCCAGAAAAGTTGACTTTCTCAGCTCAGACATTTCCACTATTATTTTTAAAAGATTTCTGTGATTAATTAAAAAATGTCAGAGTATGTAGGTGAAAAAATAAATATATATATATATATATATATATATATATATATATATATATATATATATATATATATATATGCGCGTGCTGTCGTAGAAATGCCACACACAATATGGCCGACATATCGCCTTCCGGGACGCTCCTGTTTCGTCTACCCTATTAGCTTCCGTTACGTTCGTAGGCGCTTCCTAACTGGACTAGCAGCAAACAGCAACAGACAAGATGGTGAGTCTGAAACGTCGAAAGGAGAGCCATTTCCTGCATGTAGTGATCTTTAACTACGCTTGGTTTATTAGCAAAGTCGCTGTCGACATAAAGAAAGCGACGTTGCGTCCCAGCCTCGTAGTAGGGTTTAGTTGTAGGGTTACTTCTACTTTAGCTCGACCAAAAGATGGATCGACGATCACATGACATCCTTGAGTTTTTAGTATCCCAGAAAACCACTCTTAACAGTTTCACTCACCCCTGTTGTAGCAGGTTTTTTGCACGGTTCTTTCCTAGTTTGCCATTCTTGTTCTTGGAGTATTTTGTTATGACAGCATGTTATATTTTATACTTACCAATCAAATTAGCGCTACAGTGGCTAACCAGCTAAAGGCAGCTTCATTTTGCAAAACATTTTCTTGTACTGCAACTGATGAAATATGCTTCCTGGATATTATCCCATGCTACACTTTGCTTATTTGTTCTTTTTAAGACTGGCAAAGTAGATACTTTTCCTAGGGAAGCTGCTGTCATTATGTTTTTATTCATTCATTCATTCATTTTTCCTTATAATTTTTCAGGTTGATGTAGTTGTCAGTCTATATAAAGCTGGCCCAAGACTGTATGGAACTCTAAGCAAAACCTGATTTGTGGCTCTGCCTATTCTGTGTTCAGTGTTATGGATTTTATGGAGCATGCTCAGATTACGTTCACCTTATTGATTAAAAAACACTAGTTATTACTCGTACTTAGTGGTGCATTACATAGTAAGTAGAAATCAATAAAAATATATAATTTTTTTGTTTATGACTTGATTTTAAAAGAAGAAATCTCAACTTTTTCTAAGTACATCAAATGGCATCATGCACTTTAATGGTCTCTTGAGTTTAACAACAATCAGATAAAGCTTGGAGATGATCATGTAATTCCTTAATTTGCGGATGCATTCAAAACTACCACCTCTAGCAAGGTTTATGTGTTACGTAACATTGTAAATGTAAAAGAATTAAAAGTCTTTTTAGGTTTACTATTTATACAGCTTCAAAGCAATTTGTAAAATTTGTAACTACAAATTGGAGCTTTACATTGTCCTTAGGGCTTTGGTTCCCTAATCAACAGCTTAAATCTCTTATGCGTTGGGCCGGCTCTGGGTTTAGGATATCAGTTAAAATATCTCTGTGCTATTATTTGTGCTAAATTACAGTAAAGCGGTCAGATTTGCTTTGGCACCTGATTTTGCACTGGCTGACACTCAGGTTCTTGCGTTGTTTTCAGCTTAGCATGATCACTAACCATCAACCATTAACAAATGTCTTGACCACTTTACCATTTAATTTGTTTGTAATTTTCTTTATTTGTTTTTGAATAATTCATTATTTAATCAATCTAATCCATTCACTTTTTAATTTGTCCCAACTTCTTTCTGTTTGTATTTTTTTTTACCCCAATCTCTGAACACATCCCGTGTCATGTACACATGCACCTCTTCCTCTTCCTCCCCTCCTCTTCACCTCTCTGTATCTGTCTGTCTCCAACCAACCAGACTGGTCACCGGGTAAGTGTGCTCGCTTTATGCTGCCTCGTTCTGCTCACCCTTCTGTGTGGCACTAACAAGAAAATGGGATTGCAAATTTGCGCAGGTCTGACTTTTTTGTTGTTGTTGTTTGTTTGCCTTTTTAGCAGAACGAGCCGCTGTTATTCCAAGAGCTGCTGTGAATTGAACTTATGCTGACATACGCTTGATCTGTATTGTTATCCCAAATATAAGGATGTGGACAGATTAGTTGCCACTCCTGGTAAAATGTTTCAAAGACCATATAGATGTAAATGCCCAGATCTGTTTCTAGGCACTCTGCTGCACGAGGACTCACGTTTAGTTAACCCTCACACAAATTTGAATAATATGGAGTTAAGTTCCATAGAAAAATTCTCAACTGTGTGTGTGTGTGTACGCGCTTTTTTTGTTTTCTAGAAAACAGTGATTCTAGAAAATTGAGCTTGTTGGTGCATCCAAAAATTTTCCTTTTAGCCTTCTGTTAGAAGGTACGACTCACCCCTGTGACACATTTCTGGATTTTATTTTCTGTTAACCAAATAAACAGATTTTTCACGTTTTTTAACTCACCTGAGCTCTAAATTAAGACGAGAAATTTGCACCCACTGCAGAAGTTATCCAGCTGTTACAGTTACAGTGGGATGTAGGGATTTTGTTAGTATTGAAGGGGTATTTTAGGATTATTTACGTGTCGCGCAGTTAAAATCTTACCTGTACTAGGTAACTCTCTTGAGGTCTTCACCAGATAATTGGTCATGGAAGGCAGAGGAGCCAGGGTCAAAGTGGACTCCCACCATCAAAAGAACAACTTGTAATTTTCTTTTGCAGATGATATTTCATGAAGCTTCAAACCGTCATGTTCATATTGGGTAGTTATGCACAGAGAAGCATCATAAATACTTTACATCTCTGTTCTTAGCACCTTTTTTGACATTGGACAAATATTGGTCAGACCTGTAAAATGAACAAATATGGATTTATGCTCAATGAAAATCTCAAGAGCTATCTAATGCAGGTAAGATTTAAATTTTTAAGCTTTTTAACCAAACCTCATGTCGAAGAGAATCCTGAACTATCTCTTCATAATGCAGTTTGCTCATGTATGCTTGTGTGTCACTTCCTGTGTTTTGTAACAGTAGACATATCTCCAGTCTGTCACTGAGTGTCTGAAGTCCAGCTGTGCGTAATCAGTTCACTTTTTTTGTTGTCTTTTTTTAAATTTTGGATTTTTAAAAACTCTTCATGAAATGACATTTAGAAGCCAGTTTGAATTCAGACACATTATATGTTCAGAATTGTACTTATAAATGTTGCTGATTTGATTGGCTTGAGTGAGGTGTTAATCAGCTGTATTGGATTAGTGGGTGTTTCAGTACAAGAAAAAAAATGGTTGCATTATTCTATTGTAAAAAAAATCTTAATATCAATAACTAATAAGGGTGAATAAGAGGGTTATTGTGGAGTTTATGTCCACTGTTTTCTGCTACAGGTTGACCTACGGCACCCTGCAGGGCTCTGTCCTTGGACTATGTTCTTTTCCAGTTCTCGGACACCTCTGTTCATCTGTGGGTCACTAACTGGTTTTTGTGTGTGTTTGTGCGACATTAGTTGGTTTTGGTGTTAGGTGACCTGCACATTCCCCACCGGTGCAACACGTTGCCAGCCAAATTCAAGAAGCTGCTGGTCCCGGGGAAGATCCAGCATATTCTCTGCACAGGCAATTTGTGCACCAAGGAGAGCTATGACTACCTGAAAACTCTCGCTGGGGACGTCCACATTGTGCGGGGAGACTTTGACGAGGTCTGTGCTCCTTATTAAGATCCACCGTAGTCATTACACCCTTCAGTGGAAAAGTATTTAAGTTGAAAAATAAATAGTATTTAGAGAAAGAGGACCGATATTCCAGTGGTGGTCACCGCTAGTTAAAACATTAGTTGCTCCAGCCTGAATCACTAATCATAAATATTAATTCTACTATCACTAAAGTGCTTTACCAGTATTGCAATTAGTGGAAGCTAACACTAAAGCATTATGTCATATAGTACTTACTGGAAGCTAACGCTAAATCGCTATACCAATATAGTACTTTGTGAAAGGGAAAGCTAAGTGTGCTAAATGTTTTCAAAGTGAGCAAAAAACGCTAAATGGAAAATTAGCTCTGCTATTAGTGTATTGGTAGAAGTGTCTTCACCACTGAATGTGTCAAATTGAGGTTCCCTGTGCCTGGCTAATGTCCCTCTTCGAAAGATATCATATACATATTTCTACTTAGACCATAAGAGGAAAGGCTTGGCTTTTATTATTATTATTATTATTTTCATAAAACCTGATCCTATTCAGACTGGACTCAGAGGCTCTATAAACATCAATTTTTCAGACACACCAGAAGTTATCAATTTTATTTAGATCTGGGGAATTCTAAGCAATCACTGCACTTGGTTCAAAGTCCGTCTTTCACAGTTGGAATCTCACAAATTTATCTGTCCCTGCACTACCAGAAAATCCCCACAGCATTATGCTGCCACCACCATGTTTCACTGAGGATGTTGAGTTCAGGCTGATTTAAACTCTTATGTAATGTTCCCCCTCAAACCCCTGTCGCTTTAACAGCAAGACAGAATTTATACTGAAATTAAGGTGATCCCTAATTTAGATGTACCAAAGTAATGTTTTTATTAATTTATAGGGGGAAAAAACTTCTTTCCCCTCTACATTATGTGCTACTTGGTGTTAGTCTGTCTTACAACATTATAATAAAACATAGTGAGATTTGTTGTTAAAGAGCAGAAAAGCTAAAAAAGGGTAGGGGTACTTTTCCAAGGCAGTGTATCGAACCACTAAATACCAGGAGCTCTTCACTCTACATTCAGGGTTTTCTCTCTGGTTAAAGCAGATCACTCCAGCTAGTGTGTTCACTAAAATCAAAACTGTTTCTGCCCTCCTCTCAGAACCTGAACTACCCCGAGCAGAAGGTGGTGACAGTGGGCCAGTTCAAGATCGGCCTCATCCACGGCCACCAGGTCATCCCCTGGGGCGACATGGCCAGCCTGGCGCTGCTCCAGAGACAGCTGGATGTCGACATCCTCATCTCGGGACACACACACAAGTTCGAGGCTTTCGAGAACGAAAACAAGTTTTACATCAACCCCGGCTCTGCTACCGGGGCCTACAACGCACTGGAAAGGTAGCCGTGACCAGAACCTGTGTCCATTTTAAAGCAGGAAATATCCAAGCAAAGACTGAAAGTCTGATTTACTGCAGCACAGAACACAGAAGGCGTGTTTGAGCTTAACTTCCTATGTATCATTAAGAGACTATTTTAAATTAGAAGTACTTAGGAAACACATTTTTCCCCCCAATTGTACATTGGAGGTGTTATTAGGCACTCTATGGTAAAAATGATTTGCAATATTTTTCATCCTAACATGTCATCTCAAGAAACTTTGCAAAGAGTCCAATCATACAGAAAGTTTACAGGCCAATTACATACATTCCATATTGATCCTAGTTATTAAACAAAGCTCAGTTTATAATTAAAATTGGTAAAAAAAAAAGAAAAAAGTTTTCTATTGAAGGAAACTTGCAGCATTCGCTCCTTCTGGATGGACATGTCCACTGAAGACAGAGCAACAACTCTGTTAGTTTGGGTACCATTCTAGAAGAGTTCATATACAGCAACAAAGAGCTGGGTAAATGCACATCTCAGAGGCGCTAGGCTAGCTTTAGCATGCTTTTTCTCCAATAGTTTGGCTCTCTGCCTGAAAAACACATAATACTGCGCCTTTAAGTATTTATATCTAGAAAATTGTGATATTGGAAAATTTGATCCTGGAAAAGTCCAAAAATGTTGAATGGAAAACAATAGGAAAGCCTGTATTTACCTGTTGTTGTTTTGTTTTTTTTCCCAGTTCTTTGTTAATCCTTTATTCTCTTGTAACATTCTGTATTTTGTGCTCTTTGTTCCAGAAACATTATCCCCTCCTTTGTACTAATGGACATCCAAGCGTCTACTGTGGTGACGTATGTTTATCAGCTGATTGGAGATGACGTTAAGGTGGAGAGAATTGAGTATAAGAAGTCCTAAAGGACGTATGGGGAGAAGGAGGAAAGGCAGAAGAGTTAGGTGAATGAGGCTCAGCGTCATGTTTCATTCCTGTCCACCAGGGGGCAGCAGCTCCCTCAGTTCACCGAAGTGTTAATGCTGTAGCAAAACTGTTCATGAACTTAACTCTAAAATGCTTGTGTATTATATTGTTTATAAGTCATCCGCATTAACTTGTAAGCGAGCTGTTATTAGAGGATACAATGTTTTGCTATGAAAAATGAATTTGGTGACTTTTGTGATTTTTATTTTCACCCTATTAAACCCTGTCCATGTGACCAACACAGCTTTAGCTTTCTGTGATCTGCCTTATTCATTCACTTCCACAATAAAGATGGGATTTCCCTCCATGTGTTTCCCAAGTAATGGTTTTGTTTGTAATTTGTTGTCAAATGTTGTGTTTCGTCATGGGGATGAAAAACATTATTTCTGGACTTCTAAGGATTTATTTGAAGCTTTCTTTTCTTGGATTGAATAATTTAAAACAAGGATTTTTAAATTTTGGAATAGGGGGCATAAGTTTATTTTATTTTTTATTTTTTTGGAGACATACAAAAAGTATAAAATGCAGGTCTTACCCCAGGCAAGAAAAAAAAAGAACTTGCAAAGAAAAATACATATACAAATAAACACAATAAATAAGTTAACAGAACAAAACTTCTCTTAAGTCATCCAGTTCATTTCTATATAATACTATTAATATAAAAACAAGGAACACATTTAGCAATAAAAGTAGTGGGAAGAAGACAAAACTAATTTACTCTCACTCTGTGTTCATACACAAATAATATGGCTTTTTCTTACATTATGTCTCGAAAGTCAGTTACATACAGTTACGCATACCATGTAAGATATACAATATATTGTATGCTATGTGATATAAAATATACTAAACTTACATATTACAATACATTCTGATACTTATACAACACGATATGCTGCTATGTACACACATATACATATGTATATTCACAGTATACACATATGTTTTGAATTTATTGTGGAAGTTTCAAAAATCCATATAGGATTAATAATAAATATACAAGCTCAAACACATGTATGCATTTATCAAAATTGTGACAATAAGTGGAATTTACTATTATGATTTAGGCATTTATAAAAAATCTAGTTGTATTTGGAGTTGAAGGGATTTCCAAACAGCTAATGCTGTTTAATGCTTTTTAATTATTAGTTATTTAAACCACTACACTGTGTAATAGTGCAGACACCAGGTGACCTCTGGTGTCTGCATCAGAGGTCACCTGGTCTATTGAAAGTGTGAGCTACTTCAACTACGTTTAGCAATACATACTAAACTGTTGAGGTTAAACATTTTTTCATAAGAATTTTGCAATCCAATTAATTATATTTGTTGCAACTGATAAAGACAATTGAATTATGCTTCTCCACTGTTTATACCTGCTCAGCCTTTAAGGGTTTTGGGGGCCTGGTATTTCATGTAATGATTGGACAAGAGGCACAGCGTGCACAGGTCACCAGTCCAAAGGGCAGCATATAGAAAGAAAGTACCAACAATCTTACTCACACACACGCACACACATGCACATTAGGGCTATGTAGAGAGACCAATGAACTTCATGATCACGTTTTTGGATATTAAGGGGAAGCCTGAGTTAATGGAGAGAACCATAGGGGGAACATATGAACTCCAGACCAGGATTAGAACCGGTGGCAGCTGCCAGAAGCAGACACAGCTTAGCAGAGTCAACTTTCGGCTTTTGTGGCAGCTGCCACGGCGTCAGCTGCCACGATTTGAGTGCGCTCTCTCAAGTAGAAGTTGTCAGTGTTATATCTATTAAATACCTGAAGGGAAAATTATTTTCCCTTTATGGAGATCTATTTTCTCGTTGTATATATAAATAAAGCACATGCCATAAAAAGAGGATAACTATTAGTTTGTCTTATTAAAACATTTCATTTAGAGAATCAGAATATTGATGCATTATTTGAAGTTAAATGAGTATATTGGAACAAATTAAAATAAAGCATTAACTTATTGGCAATCTCATTTATCTGTTTTAATTATTTATTAAACAAAAGCTGAAGATACCAAAACTGCTACTTAATAGAAAACATCTAATTGGTCAAAAATCAGGTGACTTCATCAGGGTTATGATGGCATCTGCCTCTGAAATGAAACTTCAAAATGAAACTGTTGAAAGAATAAACTGTGAAGACGTTTTTCTAGAGTTCTTATTTTCTCAGGTCTATTTCCTGATTTTTTTTCTAGCAGTAGCCGGGAGGCTGTGCTTACATGAAACTGTCCATGATTAAACCGCAAATATTTAACGTTGAATTTAAATAAAGCCTGCCACATAGCATTCAGGCTTCACCAACGTTTACCTCAAGCAGTTGAGTTGTAAAACAGGTTACCGCCTCGACACAAAGTATTTGTTGATTCTGGTGAAATTGAAGGGACTATTCCTCCCTCCCACAAGCAGCACAGGAATATCCCTCCATATTTTTATCCTGAAAAGCTCACCCAGCAGGGTGTTTTTAATCCAAAGATATCATAAATGTTGCATGTAATCTTTGATTCACCCACACAAGCCTGGCCTGACCCCAGGGAGAGGCTTTGAAAAAAATTTGCTATTTTATTCCACGGGGAAAGTTTATTACGCAATCAGGTAAAATGTTGATCTCTCCATTTTAATGAGCTAACACAAAAGGAGGTGCATGAAGTAAGCTGGAGCTTATCTTTGGGAAAACACCTGAAATGTGTGGAAGACAGTTAGTGAAATGAAACAGGAGGGGAGAAGAAGAAACACTGCAGTGTTGAATTTTGTTGACAAATTAATGATTGGCTCAGACAAACTGTAATAAATTCTGATTGGCTTTAAAGAGGGTGTGAACACTTTGAGCTAGATTAGAGCAGATTGTGTTTACTAATGTGAGTGCGTGCGTGTGTGTGCCTGCGTGTGTGTGTGCGTTTGTTTGTAATACCTTGTGGGGACGATTTTCCTGACATATACTACGTTGTGTGGACCAATTGCTCCTTGTGGGGACCGGAGCCTGGTCCCCACAAGGGGAAACCCTGTTTTTGGGTCAGGGGTCAGATTTAGGGCTAAGGTATGAAATGAGTTTTGGTTAGGGTTAGGGTTAGGTATGTGAGGGGATCGGGTTAGGAAAAGGGTAAAGGTAAGGTTTAGGCTGTAGAAATGAATGGAAGTCAATGGAAAGTCCCCACAAAGATAGCCACGCAAACATGTGTGTGTGTGTGAGTAGGTGTAATTTGTGGAGATTTTATTTTCATGTTTTAAGGCATAAACAACTGACAATGTTCAGATTCAGATTGAACTTTATTGTAGTTAAACATTCTTGACAGCGCAAAGACCCGCCCCCTGGCTCTGATTGGTTATTTCTAGTTAGCGCTAGGAGAAGGCGGAGGAACCCGATTTTTTTTGTTGCACATATTACACTGGTCAACAGCCAAAAATATTCTGGGGGTTTCCAACTGCTTTAGGGTCATTTTGATTAACTGAATCCAAAAATCACTTTGGTTTTGCTCAACCAGGTCAACTTTCTGAACTATGGAGCAACATGAGTTTCAAAATGCATGACTTGTTCAAACATCTGGATCAGTTTCCTGAGAATCTGATCAATGAGTGATGAGCAGGAGGAGAGATTCCATCAGGACAGAAAAGAGACGGAGAATTTTATACAATGAAGTCGTAATGTTCAATTTACATGTACTTACCCTTTTTAGTGTTTATTATTCAGTTTACAGAAATCCAAGTTTGTAACATTTAATTAATACACTCTATAGGAAATCAATTTAGTTTTCTCCTAAAATCTTTTTTGGATGGGAAATATGAACGGAAATGAGCTGATAATGTCACAAAAATCTCATCAATTTAGTCAGAAGATCAGATTTCTCTAAATCAAATTAGAATAAAAACCTGACCTGATTGAAAAAAATGGACGTCATTTTTGGATTCAGCGGTGCAAAAATAATCCTCATTTATTAAAGAAAACATAAACAAATTTCAAAAAATATTTTTTTGCAACCCAGTGCTCTCTGTCTCATACCGTACTGTGATGACATAGTGACATCATAGTCACTATGTTTTCATGTTTGTTTACAACAAACATGAAAACATTCTATTTAAAATTATTATTATTATTATTATTATTATTATTATTATTATTTATAAAAGTTACATACCACAGCTTTAAGTGCCACACCAAAATAATCAAAAACAGAAGAAAATTATATGGAGGCAAATGTTTTATCACAGGGCTGGAAATAAACACATCGAAGGATTCATGTTGTTTTCAAATTCACATTTCAGTTTGTAATAAAAAAGTGCACAGAAGGGATTACATTAAAAGTTTAAAGTTTCTGTCTCTTCTCTATAATGTCTGGCTAGGATAGGATTTTGTTTTGTCCTGTCTCTTTTTCTCTGTTTGACTTAAGAGAAGTCACATATTCTGTTCAAACTCAGAGCAAACTGTATGCCCCACCTTGCAAATGCAAATAGAAGAAACAGTTTACCATTTCATGTAGACTCATTAAAACCTTTCCTAGTGTAGCTTTACTGTAACCATAGTGATTATCAATTTATTTTTTATGTGAGACGTTTGTACTTTCACTTTCCAGTCAGGATCTGTCCCAGCCCCGTTTCATTTTCAACCTATGACATCAGACAGTTGCTCTCATGGCTAATAAAAGCATCAGCCCACCGATGATTTCCAGGAAGCTCTTACATGAGTTTGAGTTTGTGAATAAATGCCTTTTCTTCACTCTGCGAGGAGACAACAAAGCTGTGACTTTTTACTTTTTCTTCTCTTTTTTTTCTGTTGAGGCGGAGCAGAGATTTTGGGTTGAGCCTGGCTGCAAAGTAAACATAAGCACTGTAAAGGAGAATGATTTATTTAACCTGCACAGACTGAACAAATAAAAATGGGGATTAATCTCCAGAATGACCCTGATTATAGATTTAAGGAATCAGTCCAGGTTTGACTGGTCAATTTATTGTGATTTTAATGTTTTTGTAAAGATAAAGTGATGCTGTTGTAAAAACAATGAACAGATCCTTTTTCTCTATTTTCACAAATCTATTAGAATTATCTAGTTTACAATTGATCCACCTGATTTTTAAATATACATATTTAAATAAAGATGATAAAATTTAACCTAGACTCATTAAAGCTGTGGAATAGCCTTTACATTTAGCACCAATAGGAAACTCAGAAGCACATTTCAACATTATCGTTACTGTCAGGCGAGATGTTTTCATAGTCCTTAAGTTTAAATATTAAATATTAAATATGCTGGTGTCGAACCTCAGTAAATACGGCCCAGATGGGGGCTTTTTGTGGCCTTTTATGTCCATAAAAGGGCATAAATAATTAATTTATGCTAAAATAAAACAATTGCAGTAGAACTATTTCATCAGATAAACTCAAAGTAGGGAAAGCGGTGGACAATAATCTCCGTGGTTACTTTACCAACAGGAGTCCTGAGATCTCTTATTCCATCCTGTAATCGCTTCAATGAAGTAGAAAGCGAAAGTAAAACGTGCAGTTAATGTTGGACTCTGCGGTGGAAACCCCCTCCCCTGCCCCTCCCCCCCACTCTGAGAGCTTATAAAGGCTGACAGAGGAGCCGATTCACAACAACACGGCGCACGAGCTGACAGGAAGTCATCCTGGGACTGAAAAAGGGAGACAATTTAATCCGACAAAATGAAAAAGTTTTGGGACAAGATACCGAAAAGGGTGCAAAGAATGGACAGCACCAAGCCTTTAATGGAGAACAACAACGACTATGACTGTGAGTGAGAACTTATCATTTCTATTGGCCATCTTTTCATAGCAAAGCTGCACACAATGAAAGCTATTGTTGATTATCAAATTAGACTCGGGGTTCGATTGGAAGTACACTTCTTAAGTACTCTAAAATGTATTTAAGAAGAATAGCAAGGCACACACAGGCTTCAACTTTAAGTGTTCATTTTTCAAATTGAATATATCTTATATTTTAGAGTTTTAAAATCAATTGAAATGTGTGCGTAATTGAATCGAATTGAGACATTTGTTGTAGTTTGGCGCTATCTAAATAAACTGAATTGAAGTGACTTGAAAAGACAAAAGATATATCTGATAGGTAGCATTCTTCTCCACACACACCATACTATTTAGCATATTGTATTGTAAAATAAGACTTTGTCAAATCAGTTCAAAACTATTTATTTCATCTACATTCTGGAAAGAGAGATTGTGATAAAAAGATGCTTTAGTTGCAACAATCTACATAACCTTAAAGTAACAGCTAATTTATAGAGAATCTGATTATCCCTAAAGCTCAGCTGATATTTCATGACTTTCTTGAATCCTTTGGTAATAACTTGGATAAAAATGATCTTATTGTGCAAATGTAGACATATATAAAGATTATTGTGGTGCAAAAATATGTGTCTTTTGCATTCCTTGTTGATTTTACTTCTATCATGTTCAAAATAAATAATATTGGGGGTGCACTGATTTATCGGCCAGCCGATTTATCGGTGCCGATTTCCTTAATTTTGGGAGACTGGTAATCGACCAATTTTTACATATGAAGTCGATCTTATCCACCGATCTTATCTAGCTTGGTCAATGTGTAAGAATCAACCACGGTCCTCCTTTACTCTCCAGTGAAAAAGGCTTAACTGACAGATTTATGTCTGCACATTTAAATTTAACAATAGTGACCCCACTGTTGCCAACTCAACAACTTTCTTGCTATATCGAGCATCGTTTCAGACAAAAAAATTAGTATTGGCCAATATCGGAATCGACAGGTTAAGCTTTTCAAAAGATCAGTAATCGACGATCGGTCAGAAAGCTGCAATCGGTACATCCAAACAATAAAGAAAATATTCCTCTCTCTTATCATCTGAGAGAACTGAAGAACTTAGCAGAACGAATGGGCATGTTTTAACAAGCCCACAGTGTCTAAGGCACACCTTTTGCTCCTTGAAACGATTTGGTTGCTCTTTAGCTGAATCTCAGTTACAGTGTTAACGTATTCAAAAAACACAGACACACACACACACACACACACACACACACACATTTAAAACCCTGATTAATGGACAAAACTGCTATGCCAAAAGCTGAAAGTAAGAAGGAGAAATGTGGCATGGAATGTGGCAAGTTGTGATGAAAAGGTTTTGAAATGAATTTTGAAAAAAGAAAAAAATTAACATTCTATTAAATAGAGCAAACTGTTGAGATCCACTGTGTAATGTACATTTGCAAAGTGGAGGAGGTACAGGTTTATTATTCATGTTGAGTGGTGATGAAATTCCTAGGGCATGACCAGCAGCAATTCTCCTTTCTCTGACTGAAGTGACAGGGAAACATTGACAAATGCCTTAAAACCTGCTAGACTTGTATGAGCCAGGTATATTTAGAGCCATTCCACAGAAATTTCTGTAGAATGTTGTTTATTGTTTATAATTAAGTCGGTTTAGTTAGGTAGGTTTAGTTTTAAAATACTTCTTACTCAACCAAGAAGTTAGTTTCTAGTTTCTAACAGGAAAGGATACGGAGATCTCCCAAAACAGAAGATTACTGGCTTCATGTAAACACTCCCTAAAATTGTTGTCAAACTTTCGGCAGGTTTCTCCTGATACATCTGATCACCTCAGGTTTTTGGGTTCAAAGATCCTGTAGGATTGTTTTTTTTTAAACTTTCCATCACATTACAACCACAAATGTTAATGTATTCTATTGGAATTTTCAAATTCAAATTAAAAAATACTTTACTGATCCAAAGGGAAAATAAAATTTTCCTGTAACTCATATTAATTCAAAATTCTTCAAAGAGCCATCATAGATGGTGATGGCTGTGGGCAGGAACGATCTCCTTCCTACAGCTGTCTGTGTTACGGCACTTTTGACGAAGCCTCTGACTAAAGACGCTGTTTTTCAGACAGAACGACACGAAGCAGCTGTAAAACACAGTGCAGCGCATGCAATATGACATGGGTGAAAGTTAATAGTTGTGAATATTTTCAGATGTTTTAACTGAGACAAATTCAAAAAGACACAAAGAGAGAAAGAGAGAGAGAAAGAAAGAGAGAGAGAGAGATGTTAGGCTGACAATTGTCAATTTTTAAGAATCTTTTTCTGAACTTTCAGGTCCTGTGTCTGAGACAGGACAGCTCTCACAGGAGCTCCGTTCAATGTGCTCTGATGACACTTCAGACAGAGAGCAGACTTCCTCCCATCACACTGAGAGAAGCGGTGATCAGAGATCCGAGCCCCTGAGCTTCCCAGAAGTTCCAACAGACCTGGGAAAACATCTGGATCAGCATCTGGAAGATGTAGATGAAATAGTCAAAAATAATCACGCCACAGATGACTTCCTCTGTGAGATACTTCCTCACATCGATGCTCTGCTCCAGAACATCAGCACCAGCAAAAGCTGGGTAATCCTGACAAACTGGGTCTCACAGAGGTATGTATCCATGTGCTGCACCGTTGCACTGTAAAAATAACTATGTCAAATAATCTGTGACTCAAGAGGAGCGGGGAAAGGAGTAAACAAATCTAGCAGTGATAAATACAAAAGAACAAACTAACCCGGAAACATATAAAGCAAAGGAGGCAGAAACAGAAGACAAAGAATGACTAAGGCAGAACACAAACAAACAAATGATCAAAATGCAAATACCGAAAAACTCAAACAACACGGGATCCTGACGCTCCTTTTTCTCCACAGATAAAATGGATGTCGCCCAGCACAAAGAGTCTTTGTTTAAAACAATCTGGAATATAAAACCTTGTGCTTCAATTCCTGAGTTGACAAGAGTTTCAAGTAAAAAAAAAAAAAAAAAAAAACAGGATAACAATTTCCAAAAGTAAAAAATCCATCTGTTGTTGAGAAAAACACTTTCTAAAATATTTTCAACTTATAATATTGTGTTGATTTTTTTTCTCCACTTTTTGTTTTGACAGCAATGTGAACCACTTCTTATGATCTTTTTATCCTAGGACAAATAAGCGACCTAGCATGGATCATATAGCTGACTGTCCCATCATCTTTTACTTGCTCAAAAATAGAAGTAAAACAAAATGTGGCATGAAACCCCGAAAAGTTAGTGCAGAAAAAGGCTATATTTCACAGTTACGACGACTTCGTGGAGATTAATATTCCTCTGTATGTTAATAAAACAAAGATCAGATCTAAAGATCAATGTAATTCTTTAGAAATAACAGTCTGGGGCTTAATTCAACCGTTCACTGTGACTTTACCTGCTAGGCGTCCATCTTCGTACTATAGTTTTGCTATAGAACTAGGAAATTTTCCACAGTTAAAATAAATCCAGGGCTAAAGGTGATTAAAGGGGGTTTTCCAAATCTGTACTCCTGTTTTTAGGACACACATCGAGCATTTGTTTGCCATCAGGCGAATGGGAAAGATAGACAAACAAACAAATGCTACTTCATTAGGAACTAACACACCATATCTTGTTTATTTGATCATACTCCGTGTTCACAAAACTATTTGCAAAGATAATTGTAAGGTTTCCTTTGTACCATTGTCTTTCCTGGTCCTGCCCAGATTAAATCGTGGGTTTATCACGCATTCCTTCAAAGACTGCTATGAATGTAAAGAGGCGTGTCGGCTCGGGTTTACACTCCTGAATGAGATCCTGACCTGATAGTTGTACAATAACTCAGTATAGCAATGATGATGTAAACATATAGATACTTTCATTAAATACGTTTGTGAATCACTTTTTTATTTTTATGTTAATGCATTTCCGAAGCATTTTTAGATGTACACATGTTGCAACCCAGTTGTTTTGGTTCTTTAATAGGAAGGATCAACTTGATCACTCTGACCTTGGTCTGCTGGATGAATGGGAATCAAAAGCAGAGGAGAAACTGCTGGAGATGGTAAAGGTAGGAATCAATCAGCGAAATGTTACTTACACACACACACACACACACACACACACACACACACACACACACACACAAAAAAATGGCCCTTACACTGTATCAAACCCCCTAATCACCAGAGTGGAAGTGGTAGCTCCTATTAGTCACTTAGTTTCATGATTGTTTATGTCTGCAGGTGGAATTCAGAGATTCCCTGGGAAAAATCCTGGATGCTGATCGAACACAAATGGATCGCAGTGAGGAGGCCTACACTCAGCTTTATGTGGACGTTATTCAGGTAAGACAAGCCTGTGTATTTATGTGTATTTATGTGTATTTATGTGTATTTATGTGTGTGTAGTTGTATTTAACTGCCGCAATGCTTGTCATTTGGTAGCATGATTACTGTACCTTATAAAACTATTCATGCTCCAATTAACTTTTTCCAATTTATCATACACAAACTTAAATCTGACATTTGTATCATTCATGTATGGCTCTTAAGACAATGAAACCAGCCTTTCCTTCACTACAGCTGAAATTCTCTATGACCTTTGCACATCTACAGACCAATTTTGTGATTCATGAATTTATAAGGTGGCTCATCTTTGCAGGTTTATGACGGTTTTGTACTGTGAAAGTTTATGATGCCATTTGTTCCTGAGCCGGGCAGCTTTTAAGAACTTTCTAAGTCTTGTATGCCAAATGAAAGAGCTTTCCCTTTTCGGGACAAAGTGGGGTTTGTTCCCAGCGCCGTCCCTCGTCACAACCCTGTTTGTGCTGTTCATGGACCAGATCTCAAAGTCTGGTTGCGGAGAGGATTTAGGAAATGTGGTTGTGTGTGATTTAGGAACCTCTGGCCTCATCTTTGCTTTTTGTGGATGTGGTTCTGTTGGTTTCTTCAGGCCATAGCCTACAGCGTGCAGTGGAACGGTTCACAGCTGATTGTGAGGAGATGTGAGTCAGCTCCTCTAGGTCAGGGACCAGATACAGACACCTCTGAGGAGGGACCTAGTCTCTGCCTCAAGTAGAGCAGTTTTTAAGTCTTCAGATATTAAGGAAAGCTGCTGACTTACTGGTCAAATCAACAGTTTTCTGTCCTGACCTGTATTCATGACAAATAGTTAATGACAGAATGATATACCAGATGCAAATTGTCAAAATGAACTTCCTTCATACTGTAAGCAGATTCCCCCAAAATGAGCTGGAGAGTGTCACTAGGAAGAGAGATGTCTGGGTTTCCCTCCTGAAGATGTTACCCTGGCAACCCAATGTCAGATAAAAAGAAGATGGATCGATGGATAGACGGACGGACTGATTGATTGATTCCATGATTGTACCATAACAAATGATCGGAGGGTGTGAATACTAGCCCTGTCACGATAACGAATTTTGCTGTACGATAAATTGCGCCAGAAGTTATTGCGATAAACCCTACTGAATACTTTTTCGAGGTAACAAATAAAGGCAATTTATGTGACATTTATCTTTCAAATAATGGACCTTTCTCTTTCTCTCTCTCTCTTTCAGTGTGCTAATGCAATGCCCAAATTGGTACAGGAGAAAAGATTGCTGAGTAATGAGGTGAAGAAGGTTTGCTTCCAAGAGCTGCAGAGTTTTGTGAAAAGGTGAGACGTTTTGAATTATAAAACAGGTTGTTAATTTAATGGCATCTAGAAATAAAACAGTTTGTCTCAGATACCATATCCTATGAATTTACACTGAAATCAGAATTATTGTCATTTGAAAAGCGAGTGAATTGTCAATGCTGCAAAAAATTTTTTTTTGTTGTAGGTACAACTCAGTGCAAGGGGAGATACTCCATAAGAAAGCTGAAGCATGGAGGGAAAACCCAGAAACCATACACTTCCTGAAGACTCTGAAAACGTGTAAAGAACTAAGGTGGGTGTTTTAGGACTTGACTTTTTTTTTTTACTGTTTACAACAGGAAAAAACTAATTTTTTTTTCCTGTTGTATGACAGGTAAGATTACTGAAAATGATTTCTATTTACAAAATTCCAAAAATAAAGCTCTGCCTTTAAACCATTTGGAATGAGGTTATGGCTTCATAAGCTTCATAAGGTTCATTCACAATAAAACAGGTACCTGCCCACAAAATGACTCAAGTAAGAGTAAAAATGTTACTAAAGCACCAAGTGTCTGATCAGAACATCTGATTTAATGTCTTAAAATTACATCATCAGACAGACAAAATATGAAGCTATGTGTAAAGTTTTTAAAAAGTAAATTGAAAAACAAAAACAAATGAATAAGAATAACTAATTATGGCAAAACAAACACTTTTCCACTTCTGTTTTATTCAATATAAAGCTTATTAACTACAATAGGTAGTATATATGTACGGTAGGGCAGGGTAAAGTTCTCACAGTGACAAAATATAACAATTCCTGTTTTTTTTTTGTTGTTGTTTTTTGAGCTTCAAACGTCTCAGCAGATTTAGCAGATAGAAACTAACATCAGAACAAGAAAACTTGTTCAAACAAGACTTCTCATTTTTACACAAACTGTAGCTGTGTGTCCGTATCTGCTGCATTTTTGGTTGAAACATGTGTGGTGTTCTTTTAGAGAAGTTGGGCACAGTGGGTAGTGTAACCAGACAGTTTACTCAAGTAAGAGTGGAGATACTTTATAGTAATATTCCTCAAGTAAAACTAAAAAGTACACACATTTCTGATGCATTGGACAAAAATCATCTCAAGAGATAAGAGAGGAAAAGTTAAAGTTCAGGCACAAATGGGTTTTCCAGATGAACGCTGACCCTCAGCATACTGCCATATTAGTGGCAAAGTGGCTAAAGGTCAATTGGAGAAGCCCAGATCTGAATTCTTGGAAAGATGTAGAAAAAAAAAAAACTGTGGAAGAAATCTCTGAAAAATATTTTTTCCAATTGTTCTGGTATTCAGCTATTACAAATAACTTTAGCTATTGTTACACAGTGATTTTTTTTATTTATTTTTTTACATTAAACCATATATGAATTGGTCGAAGTGTACTTGTCTGCCCTGATTTTGACATGATTTACTTTGCTTGCTTTCAGGCAGCACATCCAGGCTGAAGGAAACGTTAAAGCTGGCTCTGTTGACGAAACCAAGAAAACGCTTGAAAAGCTGGAGGCTCTAACTCTGGAGCTCATAAAGAAAATTGCAACTGAACTTGCTGAGGTACCTCTTTGCAGTGATCACATTTACTTCTCACAAAAACAAAATGGGAGCACGGAAAACATTCTGTAACTATTTTACATTTAAAACACATTCTCCGCCCTGTAGAGCTGCCTACAGGATTACTTCAGATCGGCCAGCAGGCCACGTGGGAAGGTTTTACTCTGCCGGCCTGGTGAAAGACACTGTGAGCTGTTTGACTCTCTGAGGAACCATTTTCCCAAGATGCCTTATGCTTTGGATGAACAAGAGGTAAGCCATCTTTTTTGTCAAGTTTCTCCTGATGAAAAAAGTATACTATTGCTAATTGCTTATTGTTGATAAGTCATTTAGTCTAAAAAATGATCAGTTTTCAATAGATTTGTGTCTGAATGTTTGGTACAAGATCTGACTGCTTCTGTCCTTCTGCCCCCCCAGATCGTGATGAATGAGGTTTATAAGGTCGTTGCTCACTGTTACTTCAAACATCTCCTCCAAAATCGTCAGTCAGTACTGAAAAAGCAATGGAGTTCAGATGTTGGTAAAGCGATCCAGGAGGATGCCGATGAGCTTCACGCCACCATCTCAGATCTGGTGAGACCAGGATCAGTCACTGCAGACAGCGATGTCTCAATCTCATCAGACATTCCTAACATGTACAATTTGAACCAGGCTCCTGGTGTCCAGCAGTGGAATCGCCTGCTACTGGTGATCCAAGAGGTGTCAGACTGCAAAGACCTCGACTCAGTCAAGCTCACCATCTCATTGAAACAGGAAGACATTGAGAAGCGGAGGTAAACCGGTTTCTGATTGTACTAGTCTAGTGTTCAGTATTTGATTAGCTGTTCTCTCTTTTTCTTTATTTTCAATTTTCTTTTTTCTTATTTTCTTTATTTTCTATTCACTTTTTGCAAAATATTATACTTTATACTTCCATTTGGATCTCTACTGGCTTTATAAACACCCCAAGCACAAAAAACCCCATTCATTAAATGGCAGAAATTCATTATTTTTTTACTGTAGTCCGATCTACAGTTAAACCTCGGACTCGCTCTTTGACATATCGACGTGAGTGAAAGCCCATCTCACCTCCAACTAAATCCCTTCCCAGCCACCCCTACCATACAACATAATATCTGCATTAAAACTGAATCCATATCTCATGATCAATCAAAGATAGACAGAAACTTGGGACTCATGACTGATCATTACTTGAGGCGGTGTCTCTAGCTGCGTTCCCACTGACCGTATAATTGGGCAATTTGACATTTGGAAAATAAATTTGTTTACTGGAAACAACGATTTGGAAAAACTGATCAAAAGTTTTGGAAACATCACAAGTCACACGTTCAACAACCAGAAGTTGCCACTGAAGTAAAGCAAAAGGAAGAAGATGACAGGAGACTCACAGCGCTGCCTGTTTTTTAATGATTTATCTTTCGAACAAACTTATTCACGTGTGATTTCAATCGCTTTTTTAGTTTAGTGAAAACAGCTCAATTGTTCTTTTCGACATTGGCAGAATGTCAACAAAGTTTTGAGCACTTTTGTAATGGAAACTCAGCTTTTTTGTCACTAATGACCTGGTTTTACTTCTACTGTTCACAGTGAGGACCCGGAGCTCGTAACCAAACTGCTGCAGTGGAAGGGTCTTTCGAAAGGTCAGATCAGTGAAGTTCTGGATGCTTTACCTGGCAGTCCACCCAAACCCAAGTCTAAACCCTTATTTTTGCGTTTCTGCTGCTGCTGATCTACAAGCAACTGCACAAACCTGACATATGTAAATTTTGTATATGTATTGATAAAACACATTCCGTTAAGACCAAGCCAAGTCTACTGTAAATCTCCTTCATTCAGGTGTGAATTTTTCAGCAAAAAAAAAAAAGAAAAAAAAAAAGTCCTCTGTAAAAATGCAAAATTTCAAGGGACTGTTTCCTGCACCTTTGTAAGAGCTGAGCCATGCATTCCCAGGTTGTGTCTCGGGGTTGTTTTTGTTTTTGTCTGACTCAATATTCTTCAACTTGTGTGTGATTCACTATCAGTCTGTCTTAACTGCAGGTTCTTTATTTAGGTATCGGCATTCTGTGTTTTGTTGTCTCTTTTGTTGCGGTGGGTTTTTCCACTCGCTCTGTTTTGTTCTTTTCTTTACATGTTCTGCTTCAAAATGTGTTTCAGAAAGGCCAACAAGCCTTTTAATGTTAATAGTTTACTTACTTTACTGTAGTTTACTATTTCATCACGTATTACATTTTGTTTGTGATTATTCATATGAATTGAGGTACCAAGGAGTTTCTAGAATATTCATGAGAATTTAACAATAATAAGGTACAGGCAAACTCCTTCCTTTAATGATCACATCTTTTCTTAAACTGTTTTAGATAGCTTTTATATGCTACATTTATATGTTAATATTTATAAAAATTTATTTATGAAAGATAATAATTTTTCTTTTCTTTTATTTTTTTATTCTACCTGGTACTTGAATTTCCTGAATTTTCTTGCAAGTTCCTGTAATAAGGCTCCTGCGAAACAAGACAGGGAATAAGTCAACTGCTAAATCAAAATATAGGCATGGGAGTACTGTATTGAATTGTAAATGTTTTTGTTTTGCATTTCTAATTTTCTTTGCCTCAGTTTCATTAAATGGAGGTACTGTTTTAAAGGATATTGTTTCCTTTTATCAGGGAGGAATTCTCTTGAACAAATGTCAATAAAATGAATTCAAAATGATCAGTTTGTGGCGTAATCGTTGTGCTATGAGAAAGACCACCAGAGGGCGCATTTCCCCAATAGGAGACCTCCGTGACTCTTTTCCTTTGGGAAATGTTCTCTCAGAGACAAGTAAAAACTACATCACTTCCTGGAAGCAGCGTCGCAATAGACGTTCAAATTCCTAACAAGATTCATGTCACCAATATGCATCCATAACAAGAAACTCCTCTCTGTACGATTTCATATTTGATAAATATATTAATTACTTTGAAATGCATGTGTCGTGTGTTTCTTTCGTTTAGCTTCACTAGTTTAGTGCCTCACATGGATAACATTGAGAAACAGTTGATCAGTCAAATACATCTGAATTTAAATAAATTCAGCCAGTGACAAGTGCATGCTAGGATAATAAAAAGGCCCTTAACAAAGACTGTAGGGATTGAGCATTTTAATGTAAATTAATTTGAAACTTTAATTTAAGAAACTTTGTTGTGTAGCTTGGGGAATGTGAAGTAATTTTCTACATTAATGCTTCAGTTTAAGTTTTGTGACTGTTTCCCACCATGGCATTTCAATCAATTGACTGGGCATTTGCAACAACCTGATTGATTTTTTTTTAAGCAGTTCTGTTATGGAGTTGTCAATTTGGGCCCAGCTTCAGTTGATGAACATATTACCCCCATAGTTGACTCTTGAATACTTTGGTGAGCTCAACCTTTATGAGGTATTGAGATAATTGAGCAGCAAACCACAAATCATTATCCTTCCACCACCTGGCAGGGATGTGTGTGCTGATGCAAACTGGATGCTCTGGTAAGTCTTATGAAAGGCAAAGCTTGAACTATAGCCTCAGCCTTTATTCAGACATGAGAAGGTCTTTCATCCCCAGTAAAGCCAGTGGAGTTTCCAGTGTAATTAAACCAGTGAATCAACTTCCTGGCACAAGGGAGTTTCCTTTAATGAGCTTATCCTTCCCTCCCGCTTTCCCTTCACTAAAAGCTTGTTCTCGTGTTTGTACATCCCGTCTCTCTTCCTGAGCATACGTATCCTCCTACATCAAGAAGGTGACAGAAAGTGTGACATATTGACAGTAATCTGCTGTAATACCTTCTGTACACTCACATCCTTCCCAGATCCTCTGGAACGGCACGGAGGCGTTGATTATTCTTGGCTGGAAACACCTCAGTGAGTTGAGTGGCCGCTGAAATCCCCATTACAAAGAGTCAATGATTTCCCTGAGTTGTTCTGCAGATTTCATCTTCTTTTGTCCGACACTTTCATGGGAAACCTGGAAGTCTGCTGTGTTATTTGATGATCTAGCAGCTTGCAATGTAAATCTTGATTTACCCTACAGCGTCACCATCCAACACAACTCTTTGAAGATACTTTGATGATAAGAGTTACACCAAAATTTCATTTCCCTTTTGGATAAGTAAAGTATTTTTGATTTGAAAAAGTGAGGAAGAAACATGTTTAACACAAATTTGATATAAAACTATTGCTTTATTTATTTATTTACAAAAACTAGCGCGCGCACACACACACACACACACACACACACACACACACACACACACACGTCATCCTCAGAAACTCATTACGTCACTCAGAGAAGAAACAAGTCATACACTGGCAGTGGTTTAGTTTCAGAGTACAAACCAACCAAATTATGACGTACTCCCACACCAGCTTATTGAAAAGAGCATTCACAAAACCTACCACTAATGCTGCTTGTCACAGTTCTCCACCAACATTTAAAGAACTAACAGAAGCAAAGCAGGGCAGGTTATTTGACCACTACTTTAGAGAAAAAAGGACGAAACTCGGCGCCTTTGCTGGATTCTTTGCGGGTGTCTGAAAGGGTCGCCTTGACCTTGTGCCTGTCCTCCTTGGAGATGTTTGACTTGAGCTTGAGCAAAGCTGAGACGTGTTTCTCACTGCGGATGAAAAAAGGAAGGGAACAAAAATATTTTTAAAAAATGGACTATTTATCAGAGAGAGTATATGTCCAGATTGTAGAGTCTTGCAGAGACTCTACAATCCTCCAGACAAACTGACTTCCTGCTGTCACGCTACATAATAACATGATTAGGCTGTTCTAATATTCCGCCTAAAAGTGCTGAGCATCCTCTGGGGTATAAAATGCAGTTGCTGTTCTCAGGAAACATCTGAGATATGGAGATGTCTGGCAGAGCTCACTTCCTCTCCTTCTCAGAATAGATTTATCCTCCATCAAAGTGGTTTGACATAAACAACATTCTATCGTTCTTTATCTCTGAGGCCAGACCCACTGAAAAAAAAAGGAAAAAGGAAACTGGTGTGAATTTTACCTCAGGTCGGGGTAAGCGTGTCCCAGTGACACTATTTGCATTTGCAGGGCGGGGACGTCTTGGAGCTTCAGCACTTCTGCCATGTTGGTCAGGATTTCCTTCAGCCATTCCTCCTGGGATCCCTGGAAAGACACCAAGCTGAAATTAGCTGCAGGTTGTAGGTAACATCTTCCATTTTTACACTGCATTAATGTGAGAAATTGCATATTTATCACACTACCTGCTTTTTTAAAAATTATTTATATTTCCAAGTGAAGTGGCAGGTTTCACACTGGTTTTATTATTTTACATTCGCACGATGCTCCTAAGCAAGCAGTCTGCAAACAATCAGTTTTGATGATATAATTTTAGTCAATTGAAGGATCAGAATCATGCTGTGAAAGTTTTAATCAAGTACAATACTCAAGCATGAGTTTTCCAGGTTAAGTTATGGAAACAGAAAGTCTTCTAAAAACAAAAACAGGAGATGATTCTGGGCCGTGTGGATAAACCGTCTTCATCGACCCAATCCTGCTATGAGATAAAGATAATTACATTTAATCTTCTATGTTGATAAAATGCCTAATTGCCATGATAATCAAAGTCATATCAGGCTGTTATATTTACACCATATTTACTCTAATTATAAAACAACTTTTTTTCTTTTTTTTTTTTTTTTACAAAATTTTATAAAACTCAAACGCAGCAACAGTAAGCTGTGTCGTTTGTCTTGTTCATCGTTCAGTTTGATCTTAGAGTCAGAATATTCAGCATTACGGTTTTTGAGGTTTGTTGCATTTAGTTCATCAGATGTTTCTGGAGGTGAAATTGGTATCTTCACAGTCCTGAGATTTTAATTTACTAATGATAAAAATGTCCTT